CTTTCTCATCCCGCCTTGGGAGGAGCGGGAGCCGGCTGGCGTAAGGCTCTGAGCCGGGCTCAGCCCGCCGGCGTGGGGTGTGTCACCCACCACTTCCTAAGTTATTCTTTTGAGTTTCCTTTTCTCACTATTAATAGAATCCCAGCCAATATCTGAGCTGTTTCTACAAGGTGGATGGGGGGGGGGGGGGGGAGGCGTTACCAAAATAGGAAGCGGGAAGCTGTTGGGCAGGGAATTAATCAGGGGAGCTGCGTGGAGAAGGGAATTAGATCGCTGGCTTCGGGTGGGCTGGTGGGGAGGATGGACAGGACGTGTCCTTTCACTTTGCGTTTTGCGCTGATTCGATTCTCCCTCTGTGCTCCAAGCCGTGACCTTTCCAAACAAGCTTCTCCCCTGAGCACCTTCCCCAGCCTGCGAAACTCCACGTACCTACTGCACCGAGGGCACAGCCAGAGCAGCGCTGCGTGGCACGGGCAAACACAACGGGAGAAGCTTTAGATTAAATATTTGGAAGAAACTCTTCCCTGTGAGGGTGGGCAGGCCCTGGCACAGGTTGCCCAGAGAAGCTGTGGCTGCCCCTGGATCCCTGGAAGTGTCCAAGGCTGGGTTGGACGGGACTTGGAGCAATGTGGTCCAGTGGAAGGTGTCCCTGCCCATGGCAGGGGATTGGAACTGGATGATCTTTAAGGTGCCTTCCAACACAAACCAGTCCGTGATTCTGTGATTAGTGGTGTTGCACAGCAGCTCAAAATTCTGCCTGTAACTGCTATTGCAACGAGCTGTGTTGGCACAGAGCAGCCCATCTTTCCTTTTACATTTGGGGTGGCTTTTCACATCCCATCATCTCCCGACCAGAGAACTCCCACAGCAGCCCCATCCAGGAGCACCCACGGCGGCCCTTCCAGCCTCCCAAACTCTCCTCACAGAGCCCACCTGGATAATCAGCAATAAGGGAAAGTTCTCTCCCCTCTGGGGCCGTCCCCATCTCATATCCCCACACCAAATCCCAGGCACAGTCATGGGATACACATATCCGGACATGAAATCATGTTTATGCAGTGGACTCATTTCCTCTGTTGGGGCTGTTTGGCCGCCACGCTCACGGATGCGCGTGTGGAAGGCTCAGCCTCTCCTCCTGTGGGCCTGCCCCGCTCCCAGCACTGAAGGTTTGGGTTTTCTGAGTGAACCCACGTGAGGGGAGAAGTGCAGACCAAAGCTTTGGACTCACTGCAACCAGTGCTCTCAAAAACACCCTGCTATCTGCTCCGTTCCTCTCATTTTCCCTAAAATGGAGAGTTGGTGACGGTCCAAAAAGCGAAATCAAAGAAGTGGCCATGTCTGTCAAGTGCCAGCCAGGAAGGTCAGGGGCAGGTAGTATTTTTTATTTTTTTCTACCTTTTGGAAAACAGGGTGAGGGATTCTGGCTGAAATTCAAGTGAACTTTCTTTCGGAAAGGATCTCCTCCGTGTACAGGGAGTGATAACTTGGAGGATCTCCTCTCTCATGGCGTGTGTTAAATCCTTTTATCTCTGTGAAGGGGTCACTTTGTTTCCTGCAAAAGGAACTTACTGTATCTTTTGTGAGTGATTTTCATGCTGAAGGGGCACCGAACGTAATCCTGTCCTGTCTGGTTGTTCTTACCGCCAGTCTGTGGTCACAGGGCTTTTCTCCTCCTTCAACCAGGTCCTTTTTGATTCCTGTCGAGCACATTTGTCAGGCAGTCCTGGCCCAGGCAAACAGGGGCTTGTTACCAGTTATTACCCCTGGGTCCACTGGCAAAATTTGGCACAGGTGGCCAGGGAAGGAGGAAGAGATAAAACCCCCATTCTCTGGTATTTAAAGGGATGCAGTACATGTGGAAGAAAAACAGTGACTCCTGGGATTGTGGTGCTCTCACTGCTTGTTCTGTATTTGGTTAATGCTTTAGATTTAAGTTCTCAATGATTTTGCCTAAGCCAGGCCTTCTGTGGGTGGTGAACCTGCAAGACACCAAAAAAAAAAGCAATTTGTCTAAGTAAAATACATTTTTCTCCAGTGCTGCAGTGAGAGAGTCCCTGGGCAAACAACTAATGTTGAGCTCAGAGCAGTAAAACTGCAGAAGGGTATTGAGCCCTGTGACTGCAGCAGCACTTGACTCCTTGAGCAGCAGTGAGAAAACACATTAATCTAATGCAGATGTAGAGAAAAGGTAAGTTTGGCTGACAGAAAGGTGCCCAAAAACCTGCAGCACAGGTGTGGGGATGGACACAGGTGTTGGTCCTCCATGGGAAGAGGATTTCACTCACTCATAGCCACACTCTCTCCGTTGCCATGCTGTGAATCCAGGCCACAGTGCTGCACATTTTCTTGGAGTGTTAAGTTTGAAACCTGCCTGGATTTCCCCTTCCCCCATGGCTGCTCTTCACCACAGCTGCTGCATTTCAGCCAGCAACAACCACTCTTTAAAACAGTCTGCTTTGAGAGACAAGCAAGCTGGGGAGGAAAAAAGGGGGAAAGGGAGGATTTGGTAGCAGCCCAGCTGAGCTCCCCAGGTCGAGATAGGGAAATGCTGGGGCAGCCATCCTGGTTTCCTGGATCACAAGGTCCCAGCTGGCCACCAGGGCTGGCCCAGAGCCAAAGCATGGTCCCTTCTCTTGTGGACAGGGTTGAATGGAATTGTCTTTCTACCTTCCCTTTGGTGCCTGTGCTTTCTGCCTCTCTGGGGTGAGGCTGTGGCACGAAGAGGAAGCCAAGAGCAGTGGGGTGATTTCCTCTTTCCTTCCAACCCTTTTCTTTATTTACATCTCTTTTATGTATTGTTTCTACCTTTAGGGGATATTTTTTCTTGCCCTCTTTTGTTGTCAAACCCTCCTGTCGAGTTTGACACCCTATTTATGGGACAGAGCCATTTTGTGGCTCACTGGATGCCTGATCTCTCTCTAGTGATGGTGCAGCCATCACTGAGGATTCAGATTCAAGCCACACAGGTTGATAATACAACTGAGGAGGTGGGTAGATCAAAACCCCCTCCTGTCTTTGGCACTTTGGATCTGTCAGATCCCTGTGCTGGTGTTTTGCTTCCTTACCTTTCCTTCTCCTGCAGACAGTGGTGGGCCTATAGGAAATAGGACTTATCTGCACAAAAGCTCTTTTCCTGCAGATATAATGGAAATGTTTTCTCACAAGCCAAGAGTTTCCTAAAATAATCCATGCTGCGAGTTTCAGTTGAATTCACATCTTAATGGTGTTTCCAGGAATGGGAATGGCTGCTCCCAGAGGCTGGTGGGGAAACAGGAATAGGAACCGTGTTTCAGGAGGAGGGCTGCACCTGTATGGAGTGACAGGACAAGGGGGAATGGCTTTAAACTGACAGAGGACAGGATTAGACGAGGTATTAGGAAGAAATTCTTCCCAGTGAGGGTGGTGAGACATGGGCACAGGTTGCTCAGAGAAGCTGTGGCTGCCCCATCCCTCTAAGTGTCCAAGGCCAGGTTGGATGGGGCTTTGAGCAACCTGGTCTAGTGGAAGGTGTCCTTGCCCCCAGCAGGAGACTGAAACTGTATAATCTTTAAGGTCACTCTCAACCCAAACCATTCTATGATTCTATGATTCCCCTCAGATGGTCAGGCAGTTGTATCAGCAGATCAGTACAGGTCCCTTCCGAGTGAAATATTCTCTCTCCCTCTCCCTCTCCCTCTCCCTCTCCCCTCTCCTCTCCTCTCCATGCCATTCCATGCCATTCCATGGGACATCAAATCTGTTGCAGCCTCCCCATCCCAAATCCCACTCCCCAGGTCCTTCTCAAACATAACTCCCTCACGCCAGGTCCTGTCGTGATGGGGTTAAATTTTCCCACCAGAAACTTCATCTTTCATCATGTCCTTGACACAACAACCAGGGCTAATGGGCAGGTTCTGGGAGAGCAAGTACTTGGCTGTTGTGCCGGCACAGAGGAACGAAGCAGATCTCTGGAGAGCAGCATTAGGTTGCCAATCAAATCTTGGAATTGTGTCTCCTGTTTGGGAAATGCTTCATGGAGGAAAAAATGTGTGCATTCTTCTGCACAGCCACCAAAAGGAGGACCTCTCCCCCCTCCCCCAAAATCATGTTGTTGCCTTGACTCCAGACAGATCCATGGATAAAGTGGCTCAGGGCAGCCTGCGGTTCCTGAAAGGTGAAATGTTGGTCAAACCTTTCCTGGGGTGAATTTGAGCAAGAGCCCAGAGCTGGTGGTTACCACGTGGAGAAATTATTTCTGTGGCAGTTGATGGAGCTCCTGCAGTGATTACAAACAGAAAAATAGTCCCATGATTTTATATTGGTCTGGTAGTGAAAGTACCACCTCTTAGAGCTGTGGGATGTTGCAGAGCTCTCTGCTGTCAGAGGGTTCCCTCTTGTCAGGCAAGCTGTTTTTCAGCTGAATCCCTCACTGAGAAACAGCTTCATGGTCTGGAATTTAAAGTATTCTTCAGAAACCAACAGCAGATCCCCCTGTGTAGGATAATGGGAGGCAGCTGGTTGGATTTGGAGGTCTTTTCCAACCTTAATGATTCTATGATTTCAAGTGTCACCTTATTTATCGTCCCCACTTCAGGGATGTAAGAGACCCTCATAACAGGGCTGGACAAACACACTGAGCACATCCCTTGCTGGCCCCTTATCAGGGCTGGATCTGCTTCATTTTGGGAATCACTTGCAGGGCTTTGCATAGAAGCTGGTGGACCTGACCTGCCACGTGAGAGAGACCCGCCTTGTGGGAGCCAGCAGGTCTTGTCCTCCTGCTCACACTTTGAAGTCCTGTGAGTTTGACTACGTTTGTCATGCAGGTTCCTCGGGTTTCCTCCTCACAGCAACACCAGGATGTGGAATTCGATAGGAGTTCAGAGAGCACGAGGCAAGCCCTGAGTGAATGACTCAGGGTTTATGGGCAGCGTTTATTTCTACAAATACCTGTTCTGGGTGGAAACCAAGGGCAGTTTCCTCAGTTCACGGTTTATCTTGGCATTTTTACTTTTCCACAGGTGCCAGCTGCCAGGATGATCCAGGTGCTGCAGCTCCAGAGGGAAGTGACATCATCACCACGACCGCAGGCAGCAGCAAGGCACAAGTGACCACCCCTAGAAGCGGTGCAGGAGACTCACCACCCGACCCCAAGTCACCTACCACAGTTCAAATGACCACCACAACCACCAAGCCGGAAACCCCTGCACCCTCCACCGCGTCACCCACCACTCCTCAAGGCACCACTGCTGCAAACACCCTGAGAACCACCCCATCCACCCCTGCGTTGTCACCTACCACGTTACAAGGGGCCACCACCACCGCCAAACAGGAAAACCCAACGCCTGCCCCCACCACGCCACCCTCCACCACTCAGCAGGCCAGCTCTGCAGCCAGCTCTGGAGTGTCTACAGCCACCCCTGCCAAGCAGCAGACTGGTCCTGCAGCCAGTTTGGGAAGTTTGGGGAACACCACTGCTGCAAACCCTGTCCTCACTCATGGGAGCAGCCCTCCAGCCACCTCAGGGGGTTTAGGGGCTGCTGCCACACCCAGGCCGGACCCTCAGGGAAGCCAGCGTCCGGATCATTTGGCCAGTGCCACTGAGAGCACCGGAGTCCTGAGCAGCAGCTCTGCCCTTGGCCCCAAGGACCGTCCCCCTTTTTCCACACATGTCACCAAGCAGCCTCATTCTTCTTCCAGTTCTCCAGTCCAGGACCTCGCCTCTTCCACCAGACCTGGAAGGACCAGCACTTCTGTTCCCCCTTTAAGTGGATCTCTGCCCCTCCCCACCAGCAAAACATCTCCGACTTCCCCACCCAGCAGCATCCACAAGAGCCCAGAGGCAGCCACCACACTGACTCCTGGAGCAGGTACCAGAAGATGTGAACCTTGATTTCTTTGTGCTGGGAGGCCCTTTTGTGGTCTTTTCCCTTTGCCTGCCCTGAACACCCCCTGTCATCATGGGGTGTCATGGCCTCGTCTCATTTTGGGTCTTCCCAGCGGAGCTGTCTCCGTGGCATCCTTGTATTTAGGACCCCGCTGTCGTCAGCGGAGGTCGAGTCAGTGCAGTCAGTGAAACTCAAGGCAAGAATCAACCGGCAGAGCGCTGACATTGGCTTTTGGATGGACTAAACAGTGCCCAGGGCGCCATCAGCTGCAGTGACTCGATCCCCAGTGACAGCAGACGGGAGCCAGCAGCCATGGGTTCAGGGGTGGGGACTGACGCCGCAGAGCTGGTGAAACAGCCTGACAGCACCCGGAATGCTGAGTGTAGGAGACCCCTAGCACAGCTGACAGCTTAGTGAAGGCTGTCTGGGCATGCACAGCAAATGAGCTTTGGGCGACTAAGGAGATTTTGAGGCTAAACTCTTGAGTCTACAACCTCTAAAAGAGTCTAAGCACCTGGGGAGGACATTCTTCACCGCTGCGGGAGGGGCTTGGATGCTGACTTCTGTCTAAGCAGCATTAAGAGTGGTGCTCAGGATCTTGCTGAACACCATTAGTATGTCTTCTCTAGATTTGTGAAGCTTTACAGTCATGTTAGTCACAAGTGCCCCAGTGAGGCACAGTTTAGTGTCCCCCTTGGCATGAAGGAATCACCCTGTGGGACTGTGAGGGCTCCATGGAGCCTTCCAGACTTGGCTGGGATTGTGTGTTCAGCTCACATGTGGCTCTGCATAAAAGCTGTGATGACACTGAAACCCTTAATCATCTCCCCCTGGAGAATGTTGCTCTTGAACCAATTTCCAGTTACCTGGAATACAGAAGCCACTCTAAAACCATCTCCATCCCCCTCAGCTGTTGGCATCACTGAATGGGCCACGGTCTTAAGGCAAGACCATCTTCACTGGGTTCACCCAAGTCATGTTTTGAGCATTTTAGCAGCCGTAAGGAGGTGAAATGAGTATCATCATGAAGGATGTTTCATTCCCCTCCTGCTCCACAGGACTGCCTCTTCATTAAAGGATGATATATGAAAATATGTTAATTCAAATTTGACCTCAAGCATTCAGCCTGAAGAGGTCTAAAAAGCCCTTTATATTTAATAACTAAGTGAGGGAATGCAAGAGAAACAGATGGCTTTGGAATTAATTCTCTCCTGGAGCCTTCAGAATGTGTCTGGGAGAGAAATATCCCTCATCTTTTCTGTGGAAGAGGCAGGAGTCCCAAAAGCAAACAGGCTGTGAACATCCTGTGGCATTTTATTTCTCTTTGTCACCATTTAAGGATCAATTAGGAACCCAGGGATGAAGATCCATGTCTTCAAAGGGACCTGGGCAGGCAGGAGGCTGCTTTGCTCCTTGCACTGCTCCCATTGCACAGATAATTCTAAGATGCTCCAGACCTTTATAAAATCATCTGAGGTGATCTCAGGTGTCTCAGACACCTGCATGGGGCTGGTAGACTTGGGGCTTGTGCCCTTCTGGAGTAACAGGCAGGGAGGACACCCCAGGCTGTCTCACTTAGCACCAGGCACTACTTCTAAGCACATCACCCTGGACTTCTTCCATGGAGGTGCAGCCAACAGAGGTTGTGGCACTTCATCCCCTCCTAATGGAGGTGGCTGGGAGATCCTGGACAACCAGGTCTACCTCTGTTGAGGAAACCTTCCTGGAAGTCACCCCAGATTAAATGAAATGAGGGTCATCCCACGCTTCTTTTTTAGGTGATTACCCAGCTACCCACACACAGCCATCACAGCCTTGGGGTTCAGCTCTCCAGGACACTCTGGTGGCTTCCAGCGGCAGAAAGTGAAATCAGGAGTGACATTCTTTCCATATCAATCTAAAAACAAAAAACAAACAAACAAAAATTAAAAGGAGCGACCCAAAGCCTCTCCAAGCTTTGACAACAACGATCCTCAAGGCAGGGCTAGAGCTGAAAGTTTATTTTCAGCTGATCCCTAGCAGAGCTGTGTCAGCTGTATCCTCTGTACGGTAACAGTGTCTCCCTGCTTGTTTTTTCGGTGGGTGTAGAGGACTCAGACCAGAGAAGCCACGATGCTGGACCTACATCAGCCAAACCCACCAGTGCCTCCCGGGGCCCTGACAGTGCCCAGCCATCCCCCCCAGCCCCAGGGGACCAGGCAGTGCCCAGCGGGCCTGGCCACCAGCACCTGAACACTTCTCTCCAAAATGAGGTAACGACACCCATGGCAAGGTGGGCACTTTGCAGGGGTGGTAACGGAGCTGAACATCCCACATCTGTGTGTGTGTGTGTGTGAAATCTGCAGCCCTTCCCGTCGGTTTGTGGAGTCCCCATCCCTGGAGGGATTTAAAAGCCATGTGGATGTGGCACTTGGGGACGTGGGTTAGTGGTGGCCTTGTCAGTGCTGGGGGAATGGTTGGATCATCAGTGGATGATCTTAGGAGGCTTTTCCAGCCTTAATGGTTCAATGATTCTGAGGTTACGGTCTGGGTGCTGAACAGGGAAGAAGTGAAATTTGGGAAGGAGGGAAGCACTTTGGAGAGCAGAAGCTGCCTTGGTGTGAACTTGGGCTTGATGAGAGGGCAAAGATCACAACTCAGCACGAACAGCACGTGGATGATACCAGCAGAAAATGGTTTGGGAGCGTAGGGGGAGTCTCGAAACACAAATCAGAATAACCAAAGTGCTGGGAAGGTGGGAAGGGAATCTCGTTTCTGGATGATCATCTTTTGTCAGACTGGGCTGCATCACAGTCTGCTGGCTGTGGATTTTCCTACTCCCAAAGCAATTCCTGCTTTACCCTATACTGCAAATCCCAGGCCTGGGCTGGGAAGGGTATTATTAGCAAACATTCCACAGAAAATCGTGTCAGTCATCTGTGAAAACCCTTTCCACATATAAAGGGCTGAATGAAGGGTTCCTGGGCCTGTCTCATGTCCATAAATTGTACCAGAGCTTCTGCTGGGATATCCCCTGGCTTGGGGCACTTAAATCAGTGACCAACTCTCCTTCCAACCTTCCCCAGCCATTGAGAGTTGCTTTTCTTCTGTCTTTCCAGGTCATCTGTAAAGATGCAAAAGGTGTGCCTGCAGAGGTGCAAGACAACTGGGTCACCATGTATCTGAAAGAAGCCAAAACCTGTGTAAGTACCACCTTTTTGGACTTCCACGGAGGATTAGCAGCTGGGCTGTGGTGGGAGATCAGCTGCTGCTCTGAGCATGTGAGAAACTGCCCAGAAATGAGAGTAATTTCATCAAAATGGGGTGAGACCCATGTAAAATGGTGAATGCAAATCCATGCTCAGCAGTGTCACCCAGCAGGGGATGTGGCAGGAGGAGAAGAGGCCCGTGTGGTTTTCCCCAAGTTGAAGGGCCAGCTGAGCCCACACAGGCCTTACAAAAAAAGTTTAATGGGAAATTTTAAAGGGTGAATCTTTCCCTATGAAAATCCTGACAGGAGAACTTTTTTTGCTCAGTTGAGGGGCAGAAATTTTGTTCCAAAACCCAAGAAAGAAATGTGGTGTCCCTCCACAGTTGTGTAATTGGTGAGATCTTGCAGCCTCACACTGGGGTAGGGCAGCATCCGACTGCAGAGCAACTGGGAAGCACTAGAACCTGGAGTTTGGGACTCTCTGTGCTCCCTGATGCTGTATCAGCTCTCACAGAACCCTAAAGTGAGAGCAAAAAACTCCATTTCATTTGTTTTGGACCCTGCACAAGACCAGGGAGTAGCAAAATGTAGTGCCAAGCTGGGGACAGGCAAGCCCAACATGAGTCTGCACACCAAGACCCCTTTTGGTGGTGAGCACTGTCTGCTGGTGTTCCTGAGGGATATCCACCTTCAGATTGGTTCTTGTGGAAACTGTGAGCCTCCTGTAATAGGGAAGATGCAAAATACTGATAACTTCTAAACAGGATGAAATTTTAGGCTGATGATAAAGGGGAAGAGACACCACTTGGTCATTATGGCTGGTAAGGTCCTGACAGGTATCCACCTGAGCTGTGGGTGGGGCTCAGGGGTGGGTTTTGGCATTATAATGCAATGGTTTCTGGCAGTCTAAGCATCAGGAAATTGGCATTTCAGGAATGTTCTCACAGGCTGTGCCATGGGCAGGGACACCTTCCACTAGACCACGTTGCTCCAAGCCCTGTCCAACCTGGCCTTGGACACTTCCAGGGACGGGGCAGCCACAGCTTCTCTGGGCAACCTGTGCCAGGGCCTGCCCACCCTCACAGGGAAGAATTTCTTACTAATATCTAATCTAAATCTCTCCTCTTTTAATTTAAAACCATTCCCCCTTGTCCTATCACTCCCTGTCCGCTCAGTCTTCACTAAGTGAAGCCACACACACCACGATGCCCCAGTTTCTCCTGGGACCACTCCCTTTCCCTGTGCAGTGTCTGGACATGGCTGCAGGTTTCACTCTGGGAAAGATTCTTCTCAAATTTTATACTGAATATAGAAAAAGATATTTAATCAGATTGACAAAACCCAGTTTTGGAGTGTGAAATTAGTTATGACCGTGCCGGTGTTTAACGCTTCCCTCCTCCTTGTGGGTACAGTTATGGAGCTGCTGTCCCTGCTGGGGCTTTGCTAGGGTTTTTTGGAAGCACTGGTGAGTTAGGGAGTGGGCAAACATCCCAGCTTGGCCTCATCCATCACTCCTCTGTGCCCACTCCACTGGGCAATGGAGTGTTGGAGCTGGTGAGCAGCGAGTCCGTCGTCCCGTCTCCCTTTGATTCCTCTGGGTGGAATAATGAGCCGAATCACTGTTAGCACAAAATGCCAATTATGCCTCAAAACAGCCACAGAAAGGCTCCAAGGGTGCATCCTCCAGTAGCATCGCCCTCCTGGGCTGCCCAAACAACTCCCATTAGCTTTCCAGTCGTTGGATTCCTGAAAATTGCGACCGGTTTTGTGCCTCCTCGGCGGAGCAGATAACGGAGAAATGGCACTATCTGGCTTCCCTGCTTTGCAGGCTCCTGGTAAACACCTCCCCAGCCAAATCCTGACAGCAAAGTGAAAAAATCCTTTGCATTTCACAGCCCGTGGGAAAACAGGAAAGTGTGTGCTATAAGGAGAAGTGGCTCCAGAAACAGCTCCAACCCCGAGCCGGAGTTGGGGCGGCATTGTGCTAAAAATTCACACCCAGCAAGAAGCCAGGGGAGCATCAGGGGCAACGTGGGGGACCAGTGGTGGGTGGGGGGCATGTCCAGATCACACGAGGTAAGGGGGAGGGAACTGAGCAGCCACCCACCCCCATGGCTGGGCTGGTGGGGCAGCAACGTTGATGCAAAGACCCCAGCAAAGGGTTGGGACTGAACCCAGGAATTGCTGGACATTTCACCCCATCACACCTCAGTTTCTCCAGTAAATTTAAAAATAAAAAGGAACTCAAACTGTAAACAATAAACAAAAGCCAAGTATACAGTTGGTACCACTTTGTGGGTCAAATGTATTTTATGGGCTGGTTGGTTCCCTGCATCCTCCCTCTGCAGGTGATGCTTTGAACCAGCCCTGAACAGTTTGATCCATGTCCCCCCACCCTCTCCTTCTCCTTCCTCTGATTAGAGCAGGATCTTAACGGGTTTTTTAATAAGGCTTATTAGGCTGATGCTTCACGTCCCACAGGATGACTTTTCCCAAGAACTGGCTGTGAAGTGTATTTTCAGTTGGGTCTTTCCTTGGCTGCTTGGGTTGCTCCCTCCTTGGAAGGGATGGATGTATGGATGGGTGTTCTGCTCCTCATCCCAGCCCCAAAATGAGTCAGGTGAAGCAAAAGATGAAATCAGAGGTGGTTGGTGTAGCCCGAGCTGTGGTTGACACATGACCCTGTGGCCACTTCCCAGGGATTCCCTGTTCCTCCTCCATCGTGTCCCCCACCGGGTAGTGGATGTGCCCAGGCAGCTGAGTCGGTGGATGCTTGGGAGAACCTGCTGCAGTGGGGGTTGCAAAAGCAACAGCAGGAGCACCCGACCTTTGCTGAGGGAATTTCTGTGTGACACCACCAGTCTGGGCACAGCAGGACGTTCCCCGGAGCAGGTGGAGGGACCCCCCGACCGAGGAGGGTCGTGGTCCCCCTCGCCCTGTCCAGCTGGCGGGGGTGGTTTGTTGACTCAAGTGCTGTTACCTCATTCGGGGATGTTGGTTTTAGGTCCCCGCCAGTGTGGGAACCGGATCCGAGCTGCTCGGCAGCGCCTCTCAACTCCGGCCAAGGAATGCGAGCAGGGAGGGGAGAGCTGCCAGGGCATCCCTGCCGGCTCAGCGGCCTCACCCTGCCCCTCTCCGAGCCTGGAAAGGGTCAGTCCCTCCAGCTCAGCATCGCTAGGGGTTTAGGCACCGCTCACCAGCTGGCAGCCAAGCGGGTTTGGTCCTCAATTGCGTTTTAGCCTCGCATCCAATTTCCTTTCCCACCCAAGAAAAAAAGCATTTTAAAAGCCTTTTTTTTTTTTTTGCCCCCCACAGAGTGGGGGGAAGAGGAGTAGGTTGTTAACAGGGCTGGGGGAATGCGGAGCTGCGGGGGAAGGAGGATGCAGGGAGGCAGCAGAGGCTTTCCCTGCCTCTGCCGAGCAGCCAGGGATTGATAAAACACGGGACATTCCAGGCGTAGGAGCAGCACCCAGCGTCCAGACGTGAGAAAAACCATCCCCACGACCAAGCCACAGCCCCCTCCTCCCTGTTCCTGCTGGGAACCAGCTTTCTGGGGAATGCCGTCTCGTCCCGCTGCCCCGGGGCAGGTTCCCCATGCAGCCCTTTCCCCAGGAACGCAGCTGGGATGGTACAACCCCCGAGGGGCCCCAGGGAGGTTTCTTCCCGGTGCAAAGCGAAAGGACAGGCGAGGTTCTCAGGGACGGCCTCACGGTGCTGAGCTCACCCTCGCACTGTACCCGGGGCCGGCCTTCCGCCCCGGCAAGTGCATCCTGTCTCCACTGACCGCTTCCCAAATATTTAGATAAGATGGGGTGAGATTAAGGTGCCTTCCTCGGCCGGGCAGCTCCCATCCCTGTGGTGCAGCAGGCGGGGATGCTGCCGGCCGCCCGGGGGTTTTGGAGAGGGAGGGGAAGGTTTGAGGGGATGGAGGCGGCAGGAGCAGAGCCTTTCCCATCCAGACACCTCGTTTCAGCATGGATTGAGGAGTTTTACACACAGGGCTCAGCAGGTGAGACCCTGTGCATGAGCATCTGTGCACGAAGGGGCTGCATATGCAGCATGTTCCATACAGGACCTGTGGAGGCCAGGTCTGTGCATGGATCATGGAATCATGAAGGCTGGAAAAGCCATCTAAGATCACTGAGTCCAACCACTAACCCAGCACTGCCAAATCCCCCACTAAACCACATCCCTTAGTGCCACATCCACATTTTGTGCATGCAGGAGGGTGATGGTTTCTACCTTAGTGAGCTCCCAGCTGGTACAAAGCTCTGAGGAGATACAAAATGCCTCAGGAATATCTCAGAGGGAGCATGGGCTCCACCTAGCCCTCTACCACTCCCTCCAGTGCTGACCAGGCTACTCCCCACAGGCATGCTCCAGTTTGCCCACAGAAGCTGTGGATGCTCCATCCCTGGAAGTGTTCAGTGCCTGGTTGGATGGGACTTGGAGCAACTTGGTCTAGTGAAAAATGTCCCTGCACACAGCAAGGGCGTGGAACTAAATGATTTTTTTTAAGGTCTCTTCCAACCCAAACCATTCCATGATCTATTCTGTGATTCTATCCAAAAGCAAGACACTGTCTCTCACTCTTCCCCACAGAGCAGTCGGGAAGCTGTACGGAAGACAGGGAACATTTCTACCCTCTGTTCCCATGTTCTTCCAGGGAACAGAGGGTAGAAATGCAGGTGGCAGAAAGGCTGAAATGCCTGTGGGGGGGACAGTGGGGCTGCACAATCCTGCCCTGCTCCCACTGTGGCCCCTCAGCCTCCCCAGCCCCCCCGCCCTGCTTCCCTCAGGGACCTGCTATTCCTGTAACGCCGAAGGCTGCGGCTCACAGATAAGGCTGGTGCAGGGCCCCGGTGAGGAACCGCAGCCAAGAGCTCGGCTTCTTGTAAAGAAACTACTTTTAAACTCTTCCTGTTCCCTGGGAGGGCCGGCAGCAGCCAGGCAGTGCAAAGGGATGAGGGAAGATCACGGAATCACAGAGGGAATTAGGCTGGAAAAGACCCCTGAGGTTACTGAGTCCAACCTGTGACCGAACACCGCCATGTCCACTCTTCCCTTGGAAGGGTCATTCTTAGAGGATGGGACATCTCCCATCGCTGCTGAAGGGGCGAGGTGTTCCTGGGCAGTCCCTGGGTGTGGGGACAGTCGCTGACCCTCGCTGTCCCCACAGGCCGAGTGGAGGACGGCGAGCGCCAACATCTCCTTCTTCGAGAGCCTGTGCTCGACGGGCCAGCACACGTTCGACGCCAGCAGGGAGAGCTGCACGGTGACACTGCTGTCCCCCAGGCCGCAGTCCGAGCGCTGGGACGTGCAGGTGGTGCTGCACCGTGAGTATGATCCCACCCTCCTGCCCGGAGTGGGACAGGATGGGGACCCTGGCACGGGGATGCAGGTGGAGGCTCGGCAGAACCCTCAGGTCTGGTGGAGCTTGGCCAAGGGGCTCCGTTCCTTGGGCTGTCCCATCCCATTGCCTCGGAAGACCCCAGAAATGAGCTTTTCTCTCCAAGGAAGGCACCAGAGATCCCTCTCCCATCCACGATGCCTAAAGGCAGGAAACCAGCCTCCAGGGTGAAAAATTCCTCCCAAGTGATAAAAATCCAGTGCCCAGTCCAAATCCTTCCCCAAGGGACCACAGAGGGGAGTTTCTTGCCCATGTCACAGCCCTTTGGGGAAATCCATCTCAGCCGTGGGATGCCCAAATGTTGCTTTGGGACCAGGATGCCAGGCAGATGGAGACATCCTGCTGCTGTAACATGAGGGCGAGGAAGGCCTGAGCTCCATCCTCCTCTTCCTCATCAGCAGGCCAACCAAGGCATTAGGTGGGGTGTCCAGCCTCCAGCACCTGACCTCAGGCAAGGCAGCCAGGCACTGGGGACTAATCCTGCACTGCTCTGGCCTGGCCTGAAGGAGCTGGTAACAGCCTCTTGTTGGTCTCGCTCATAAATCACCCACTGGAGATGCCCCCAACCCCCTGGGTCTGGGGGATAGTGGGGACTGGGGTTTGTCCCCCTTCCAAGAGATCCTGGTTCCTTGTCTGGCTGTGAAGCACCTAGGAGGGTTGGCTTCATGCCCACACATCTCCAGAAATGGGATCACCCCACTGACCAGGGGATGGTGGCATGACCTTCCCCCCCTGCCTCGTGCTCACTGCAGCCTCTTTCTTCCCCCAGTTCCTTTGCACCCCGAGAACATCCTCCAGGAGCTGGAGAGGAAGGACAAGTTGGAGGCGGTAAGTGGGTCCCTGCCCACGGCAGATGCGCCCCGGGGTGGGGTGGGGGAGTGTGGGTGGCTCAGGGGCCTGACCTGTCCCTCGTGTGGCAGCTGGGCATCGGCATCGCCAACACCACCAACGACAAAACGGAGAGGGAGGCGATAATCGACGAGTTCAGCACCCCCCTGATCATCACCATCGTCACCCTGGCCGGCTCCCTGCTGCTCGTCGCTGCCATCTACGGCTGCTGCCACCAGCGCTTCTCCCAGAAGAAGGACCAGGTGAGGTGGCAGGGGGGTTGGGATGGGGATCCTGGGACCTTCTCACCCCCTCCAGGAGGCTGGGATTGCCAGTGCTGCCATCTCTGCCGGTGGAGACATCCTGGCTCGCCCAGCGGGCACCACCCTTGCGTGGTGCTTGAGGGTTGCTGCCGAGGGGCAGGAGCTGCTCCCTGAGGGGCAAAGCAGACAGGATGAAAAGCAGGAATGGGAGAGGCTGGTGATGAAGTAACAGTGACAAGCAGCACCCATCCCTGCTGCCACCCAGGGCTCAGCACGGCTGGGCAGCATCCTTGGCTCGTAATTTTGACAAGAAAGGCTTTCTCAACCCACCACCCCCTGCCCTCCAAAACCACCTATATCCCCCAAAAAATTCTTGAAATTTTTTTTAAAAATTGCCCAGAATCACCTCGATGCCTTCCCAGGGGTGCCAGGGAGCCCGAGGCTGTGTGCAGGGAGGGGGAGGAAGGAAAATGTCCGCAGGAGGGCATTGACACTGCACAGCTCAGCCTTTGCAAGAGCTGGGCCAGGGCCAAATCTCAGAGCAGCAGCAGCAAGATTTAAGGAAGAACAGGACATGGAAGAAGAAAATAATGTAATTTTTATCTCAGGAAGCAATTTTGGGTGATTTTAGTGCAGCATCCACCTGCAAGGACTGGCCGTTCCCACACCCTGCGGCACCGGCACCAAGGTTTTCATTGGTCCCAGCTGCTCTTGCTGAGGATTCGGCTCCAGAACAGAGAGGAACAGAAAGGGAGGGGAAAAAAAAAAAAAATAAAAGGATGAAATCAAATTATGTAATCAGGGTAAACCACCCTCCCAATGGAGAAGCAAACCCCTGCATCCTATTTCAAGTCATTTCCCTGTGGACCAGCTCATCCTTCCCCAGGGATCCCAACCTTTGCCCCACAGGGATAAGGCAGCCTTTGCTTCAGATACTTGCAGTGTAAGGGAGGTGAACACAGGAGGCAGGGAAGAGCAAACCAACAACACCAGCATCAGAATTGTCTGTTCTTACAAGGCTTGATTTTTTGGGAAAAACTGGGAGAGGATGCTTGACCTGCGGAGTGGTCCCCTTGGGGTTTCATCATCGCTTGGATGAAATCGCCCTGGCTGGGGTGAAAAACATCCCAGCAGGGACAGGGAGCAGCATAACAACTCTTGCCCCATACTGCTCAGAAAACAGGTAGAAAGAGGGTATTTTTAGCCATGGAAATCTGTGTCCCTCAAATATCCTGGTGCAGAGGAACAGGTACCAGTCCCAGTTGGATGTTCTGGAGGTAAATTCCCACCAGGCACCGGGTAAAGTAGCGCCACTAAAGCAAGGGATGCAAGTTCTGAGAAATCAAACACATTTCTCCTTCCTGGCTTTGTTTTTGGGTGGTTTATTTTATTTTCCTCCTGCTTCGCTTCCAAAAGTGACTTGAAAGATTTTTTTTATTTTACTTTTTTTTTTTTTTTCCCCTCCAACCTTCCCCTCCCCCTCCCCCCGTTGTTTTCCCTTGGAAATACCCAGCACATCCACCCTGATCTCCCCGGGTTTGATGATGGACATGTGGCCCTGATCTTTAATGTGAGTTCCAACACAGGGGTCGGAGGGGCGGGAGCTGCATCCATAACAACCCCCAGCTCTCACCTCCGGCGCTTGGTAGGGCCCAGTAGCTTTTAACAGGACTAAAGCCTACTAAAGCCCAGCTTAAAATCCCCCTTCCTCTTGCTGCATGGCCAGGGGGTGCCTTTCCAGGGCGGGAGAAAGCGCTGCCCGAGCATCCATCCATCCTTCTGGGGGTTGGACCAGCGATCCCACAGGGAAGCAGCCCCTGGGAGAGCCCAGGTGTGTCCTCTGCTTTCCATTCCTGCCCACATCTCCCCTGCCACGAGTGACCCAGGGGACCCCCAGCAGCGCCTCTGCAGCCCCTCTGCCAGCGCCAAGCCCTGCGGTTTTCCTTCATCATCCCTTTCCTTCTCCATGGATTCCCTCCCACGCCTGTCTCCTGACATTTACTAGGAGCACTGTGATAGATCAAGCTGTAAATCGAGGCAGATTTTATCAGGGGTGCCCACTGAGAGCTTTAAATTCCCCAGAGAGGGCTCACCAAGGATTGCAGTTCCCAATGAATCCTTCCAGGGAAGGATGGGGATGAAGGACCCACTAAGAGCCCTGCTGTCCCAAAAAGGGCTGACCAAGGACTGCAGTTCCCCACTGAACCCCTCTAGGGAAGGACAAGGGTGAAGGAATCCAGGTGGATGGAAAATTAGGATGGGCTGGGGGTCTGCCAGGGGATGAAGGGCTGAGTCGGGGCCTGAAGCACATCAGAGGACCAGGGTGTTAAAGTGCTTGATTCCATCATTCCCTGCTTGGTTTCCACTGAGCTCCAGGATGAGGAGGGGTGATGCTTAGGGAAGGGCAAGAGCCGGCAGCTTCTGCAAGGTGGGAGCTGCCCCTGGGTCGAGGAGGAGAATAATAATAAAACAGCTAAAAAGGGACAGGGTGGGAGAAAGGGGAGGGGAAGAGAGGAGTCGAGTTAGGGAGGCAGGAGTTTGGATGCAGGGTTGGGGCAAGGCAGCAATACTCAACCTCTTCCCAAGGTCCTGGGTGGACCAAGCTGAAGCTGGCAGCTGCTCCTGGAGGTTTTCCACATGTCTCTGGCTGCTCTTTCCTCCCTCCCACCATTAGCAGAGTCTCTCTCTTGCCAGCTCCATGCTATCCCCTCGCTGCCCCCCAGCCTCAGCCTCACTGTGAAAGTCTCTACATGTAGTTATATAAATCTATAGGGGCAGCTGTCACGGCTGGCTGGGGGGGGTGACAGCCCCGGGGTGACACTCACAGCGTGGCCAAAGGTGTTTTCCAGTGGGGTTTATGGGTTTTTCTTTCCTCGTAGCAGCGCCTGACCGAGGAGCTGCAGACCATGGAGAACGGCTACCACGACAACCCCACGCTGGAGGTGATGGAGACCTCCTCCGAAATGCAGGAGAAGAAGGTGAACCTCAACGGTGAGCTGGGGGACAGCTGGATCGTTCCTCTCGACACCCTCATGAAGGAGGACCTGGAGGAGGAGGAGGACACGCATTTATAGGGTGCAGAACACGATCAAGCGAAAAAAAAAAACGACCACCACTCCCCCAAAAAAACCCCTTAATCCTTCTACACACGCACACACACAGCTCCAAAATAAGGCAAAATCCCCATCAAAAAAACCCCAGAAAATCCCTTAATGAACTAATCATGGTCCCTTGTGCCACCACGTGGGTTGCAGGACGGAAGAGGAAGGGGCGTGAGAAGACACCTCTGGGGCACATCAAGACAAGCATCCTCCACCCCCCACCCACCTACCACACCAGAACTGAACAGCCATGGGCAAACAGGGTGGCTTTGCCCCTGAAGAGCTGCTGGTGCCTCCTCCCATCCCACGTCCGACCACGCCAACCGCGTCCTCCAGCTACCGAGTGACCGAAGAGAAATAAAGCAAATAGGATGGGAGGGTGAGCAAATCCGACAGCAAACCAGCACCTGGCAAGCTACAGCTCAAAAACCCCCCTGTTTAGCCATCACTCTGCCCTCCCCAGCACCCAGGTATGGAGTGGAAAAAGCTGGAAGAGCCTGTTCTTTTTGAATCCAGTTTTTACATCCTTTCCATCAGAAACCGCCGGGTAAAAACGCACAAGAGCCCCCTCGCTGTGCCGTGGGCAGGCGGGTGCATCCGGACCCAGCAGGATGGCAGGGATGCAGCAGTGCCAAGGAATGCTCGGCCCTGTCACCCAGGGCTGTGGAACAGATTCTGCACCCATGTGGGGACCAGGAGAGGTGCAGCAGCTTCTTGTATTGATGGGTTGACACAGGGAAGGAGAGGAAAGGGAGTCATTCCTTGAGTTCGTCCCTCTTGAGAAGGGTGTAGAGATCAAGAGCGACACCAGGCATGATGATGTTGGGGGTTTCGTGGTGCAGGAGGCCATCTCTGGTGCTGCATTTCCTTACAGAAAGTTCAGTTGCCTTCCAGGAATTATGCAGCAGCACCTCACAGCCTTCATCCACCCTGCAGGAGACCGTGGGTGATGTGCCGCACCATGGTTTGTGATTTTTCCTGCCTGAGCAGCAGAAGAGGTAAAGGAGCAGCAGTAGCAGCACGGGCCAGGCAGACTGGTGGCATTCAGGCTTTTCCACCAGTACAGCCCTTGGTGTTTCCTCCCCTTGAGGTTTATAAGCTCAGCCCAAGCTCTGAAGCTCTTCCTCACAAGCCAGTAAAGTAACAGAGACCTGCAAAGCAACTTCCAGCACAGCAGCGAGGCTGGGACTGAGCTCTGTCCTGCAGCCCTTGGTTTGTCATCCAGGTCTCCCTCTGCTGAAGTCTATACAGGGGAAAAGCAAACCCTGGCTGGACTGAGGCTGTTTCTGGTTTTCTGCTCCCCATCACAGCTCCTGAGTGGCTCTAAAAGGGTGGGGAGAGTTTCACATCTTTGCACTGGTGCCGGTGAAGCAGCTCAGCCCTGGTGGAGTCAGGGATCTATCCTCCAGCACGTGGGAAAGAGAGGGGAGGACCAGAAGGTCACCTGGGTGAGCAAACCTCCCACCAGGAGGGTGGTGGCTGTCCCAAGCCCCCTGCAAACCAGGGGAGCTGCAGAGCAGAGCAGTGTCCAGGCACAGCCCTCCCTCTCCCCTGTTTGCCACAAACTGTGCACTCACCACGTGCACAACAAGGGAGGTTCCCTTCGGGCTCTGCCACCAAGTCAAACACGATTGGGATCCACTCCCACGGCTGCCCTGAAGGGTGGGAAAAGCAGAGCCAAGCAATGGGAAGCTTGGAGAAATCAGGTCGGGTTGGTCCTCGGGAGTACTCAGGAAGGAGAGGGTCGGGGTGATTCTCTCAGCCCCAGGACAGGCAGAAGGCAGAAGAGGCTCTTCCCCCTTCTCTCCTGCACCGAAGGGCAGAGTCTGACAGTGTTCAAAACCTTTCTATTTTTGTATGTAAATATTCCTGCTATTCACTAGCGATGTATCCTGCACACCTCGCTTACCTGTGCACTGCACTACGGGGAAGTCATTTTGGAGGGGAGGGGAAATAAAATAAATACAGGAAAAAAAAAAAAAAAAAAAAAGAAAAAAAGAAAGGAAAAGCTAAAGGCCAGCCTGGTAGGGGATCAGAATTTGACACTAAGCAGGAAAACACCTCTCGGGCTTTGGCATGTGCCTAAAGATTCCCCCTTCCCGGCAAAGAGATGCCAAAGTGCTTTAATAAATCAGGTCCAAAGACTTTCCAGCAGAACCCTACAAAGGCTTGAGATCAAGTAACCTTAAATCTTCCCGAGCAGGGACCAGTGAACTGCTCAGCAAGTGCTTATAGTGATTTATATTTGAATAGGAATTGTACATTTATTTATTTTTCCAGACACCATATTTTTAAACCACTAATATTTTATAGTAGATTTTCCTTCCCCTATTTAAAGAACTATTTCCACAGGAAAAGAAAATAGTACTTTTTTTTTTTTTTTTTTTTTATGTTGAGAGCATTCTTTTTTGGAAAACAAAACAAAACAAAACAAAAATCAGGTAGGAAATGCAGCGATGAGCATTTTTGGCCTTAACCCTTCCCTTTGTAGCTGTAGCCATAATTGTTAGACCAAAAATAATAAATAAAGGCATTTCCTCCCTCCCTTCCCCTCGCTCCTCTTCTCTCCTCCGACACAGCTTTAACATCCGACACACATTGTACAAAGAGATTATTGCTCTTACCTCTGGGAGAGAGTTTTACAAGCAGCTCAGAGGTCCTTGCAAGAGACTTTTCTATTTTCAGATTCACAAGGAACGTGTAAATACTTTTAGGACCATTTTATCTCCCGCTCTCAGTGCCATGATCCAACTGATGAGGTTTAAACTGTGACTGTTGCCTACAGAGGACACACAGAAGTCATAATCCATAAGGGACTGGAGAAGGAAAACCTAATTCCCAAGGTGGTTACCTGTTGAACCTTGCACATATACTAGAGCTCTTATGTACTGTGTAGCAGCATCTCTCACGGGGACAGGAGTCTGATTTACACTGGAATTTACTGAGGAACTGGATTGTAGAGATTATTCTTGCATTTTCCTACAAATATATTTTGAAAGCATCATGTATTTCTGTCAATAAACATTCTTATGTAAAAGACTCGTTTCTGGGCTGAGTGAGAAGGGGGTGGGCAGGGCAGGGCGTGTTCTCCAGAGCCACAACTTTCTGCTCTGTAGATGTTACATGGGGAAAACACTGGACCAGCAGGAGCAAAACCAACCCAGGCTTTCACGGTAGCCAGCCATGGAAAACCTGGTACTTTTCCCATGCAGGAGGAAGTATGATAGTGGTGAAAAACTCAATTTATAAAACAGATGACTCGGAGGGGGGGGATGTTGGGTTGATGTGGGTGAGGGCAGCCCCACCACGGCCAGAGCTTTTGTTTGAGCTGTTGGTGCCTTCAGGCTCACGGAGGGAAGGGAGAGGGAGCTCATCCTTATTTCTGCATTTCATCCCAGCTCACTCCTGGTCTGCAGGCTCTCCTCACTCTCAGGTCAGGCTGTGGAGGAGGGAATCAAACCTCACACACCTGTAAGCCAGGAATGGCATCACTCGAGGGCAGCAGCAGCGTGGGCAGCTCATCTCTGTTTGCCTGCAAGAGCCCAAAATAAAACATTCTGTTCCAGGTTAAGTTTCTGCTCATGTAAAGAAGAGAAATAAAAAAGGACTTTGGTTTAAGTCAAAATTAGGTTTAAAAAATCAGTGGTTTGCAGCAGCCCATGTTCTAACTCCATGTTCCTCCTCAATAAAAGTCGTTGTAAATGTTAGGAACACACTGGATTTATGGGACACCGATTCTACTCACCAGTGGTGTCAGGGAACAGGGCCAGACACAATGCACCACTGGTTTCACAATTTCTCCACCACTACAAGACCTTCACAGACACTTTTTCCCATTCTCAGAAGCGATGTGTGAACAAACAGACCTTAAATCAACACCCTTGCTGGCATATACATTTTTATTAAGAAAGAAAATGAACAAAATACATTCTCTCCTTATGTACATTACATACAACATAACTACATTTGTAGATATTCCTCGTGTCACTCATTCATTTATGTACAGCATGGGGCTCACACACCAACCCAGAAATCATCAGAGATGATTTATGCCAAGGAAGAAAATTAACACTCCGGGCTGAGCAAAGATCATCCGTAAAGGAAAGGGTGGGATGGGGAATCACCGGAGTCCAGGAATGATTCCTGTAACCACCACGGGCTCAACACAGGACTAGTCAATATTTAACTTGCCTATTAAAACACATGAGCAGTTCACAGTGTTCATCACCCCACGGATGCTCCTTCCCAGCCCAGGGCTGTCCACACCTCTCAGCTCAGCTCTCCTGTGCTCCGGTGTTCGAGACAACAACTGCAGGACAGACACCAGCGGGAATTCCGACGGACACCAGAGGCTGCAGGGTTGCTGCAGAGAGGCAAATGCTTCAAGCTGGCTGCCAAAACAGAACAAAAAGGGCCAAACTCTGGACAAGGGGTGGACACTCACACTTCCAGCACTACGTAGGGATAACCAGCTTTTGGGGACCACACAGGGGTGTAGAGGACGAGCTAATGAACACTGAAGGTCCAGACAAACAAACCACCACACAGTACAGTGCTACCATCAGGGTAGAGGCAACAGCTCAACAAGCAGCCAAAAAACCCACCCCAGCCAGGTGATGCTGCCCAGCCAGCTCACTGCTGTTTGACCCCAAGCTTTCCAGATCCTGTCTGTGCTATCAACTCGCCAAAGAGGGATCATTTTAGCAAAGCTAAGCCCAGCACTTCCAAAACGAGGCACGGCACATCTCAGCACAGGAACGCACGAGATGCACACCACCACCAGCCCACAAGGACGGGAATGTCATCTCCAATTAACAGGGAACGAGCCCACAGACTTTGATTCTCTGCCCCTCAGCAAAGTGGTCTGTGCAGTTCGGGGCCTCCAAGGCTCAAGACTCCCATAAACACATTTGTTTGTGTAATTCAGCTCGTTTCTCTGGCTTATGGTCTCTCCACTGTCCCCTCATTTCCTGCTGTGGAGGAGGGTGTGCTGGAAAGAGAGCAGAAAATACGGCTACTACACAGCTACTATAGTAACAGCTACTAATAACAAGGGGCTTGTTTTCTTTTCCAATACCCAGCACAGCAGCTTCTGAAGTGAAAAGTGTTCCACACAGCTGAACATCAACGGGAGGGAGGGGAGGAGGGATAGGAATGATGAGGGAGAGATGAAGGCAATATTCCCTCCCTCCTGCAAGTTTGCATTCCCGGGGACCACAGCAGACAAGAGAGGAAACCAAGTCAGCAATACAATAGTTTTCCATTTTCCCCCCTGAGAGCTGAATTTTTTGTCAAAACCTCAAAAAAAAAAAAAATATCACTTTTCACCCCTCAGAGGGTTTTCTTTAAGGAACAGACCCTGCTGCAGCACTTCTCTATTTAGTGCTGCATCACTGGGGAGAAAAACCTATCCAGTGGTATTTGGGATGTGGAGATGACTGCAACCACCAGAGCCACTGTTGTGGTCTGGCCTTCCCCCCCCTCACACATTAATTAAAAAGCACATGATCTCCCTTCATCTCACTGGCAGCTTTCACCAGAAAGCTCAGAACATCTTTAGGTTTTAACAATCTCTGAAGGCAGCCAGAGCTGATGGTGCTGCACCACCTCTGGGCTGTTGGAGCAGAGTTAAGCCCATCGCTGTGGAGGGAGGGACTGGGGAGAGAGTAAAATCTGCACGAGTCTCTCTGGTGTCCTTGGGGTGGAGGGGGCTCAGGCTCGAGGTGAAGCCCCAGGACTCCCAAGATCCTGGTATTGCATCACTTCCATTGGAAAAAGAGCCAGGGAATTCAGCTTACAGGAAAAAAATCGGGTGCAAACAGCAGAACTGCTTGTTAAAGAGTCTTCAGAGTCCTTCCACAAAGACAGAGCACATCTTGCACACCTACTCACATGAGCCACTGCTGTATTATCCCTAAGCACCTTTCTCTTCCCATTCCCTCTGCCCAGCTACTCTGCAGAACTAAACCAAACCCCCACCCCAATACCAGCTGCTTGCCCCCACCAGTGAAAGATTTGGGGTGATGAAAGCAGGTGCAGGAACCTTGGACAACTTGAGGGTTGGTATCATCACCCTTCTCCTTCCTGCTGAACAACTGCCACCCTCTCGGGGCCAAGTAAAACAAACCCTGAGACAGGAGGGAAGGCTTCTGACAGCACTCAATGAGGGCTCATGGAGGGGCAGAAGTGAATCACGCTGCAGTGGGAAATCAGCTGCCACACTTCCCTGTCCTTACCCAAGACGAAAAACATCCCTGGAAAGAACAATGTAGATCACAAGGATCCTCCCTGACTGTCTCAGAGGCAGCAGGAAGGAGTTTTGCAAAGGAAGCAACTGGAGGATGATGTGACACGGAGAAACTGCTGCCTCAACAACCACCACGTGGTTCTAACCTCTAATTCTTCAGCTGGTATCCATTAAACTCATGGAAGTCTGAAGGCATTTTAACAGCAGTGAAAAGCCACACAGGGGAAAGAAAAGTCAGAATAAATGGGGGAATAGCCAAGGAACCATGCTTTCACCATCATGTCTGCTAGGGATAAGATTTTCCTTCCAAATTAATAGCAAACCAAAAAAATCTAAGCAGATAGAGCCAGTTTTGAGCCATTCACTCACATTCCTGTTTTCAGGAATGAACTGTGATGCCATGCTGCAGCTGAACAGTTGACTGATTTCTGACAGCACTCACAGTCTCCAGGTCATCAGTAAAAAGCTGTGCTGACTTACAGCAAACAGCTGGAAGCCAGGACAACATACAGTCCTGTCTGCACTGAGTACAAATTAAGATTTCAGGGTACCCAGCTGATCCACTGACAGCAGCTCCAGCGAGTGGCTTGGAAGCAGAGCACTGAATTTGGGTCACAGCAAGTGCCTGGAGTTCATCCCTATCAAATCTGGTCCACGAAAGCAAAGGAGACAGCAGCAATGTGTTACCTTCAGGATCTGTGGCTGGGGAAGATGCTGCCTTTGCAGGTCTCCAACACCTCAGCCACACAGCTGGAATTACACCCAACCCACGCAAACAGGGTCACAGACATATAACCAAAGCACACGTGGATAATCCCAAACTCCAGCCAGTTCTTTGACCTCTGCCAGGAATGCCAAAAGGATACCTGCTGGCATTCCCTGCGAGGTGCTCCTGGGGGACTCTCCAACAGCAATAAGCAGGTCATTAACTGGCTTCCACTCCAAAACCACATTTGGATCCACTGCCTACAGACAAAAGCATCTGGAGTCAATTGATCCAAGCGCTGAGCCACGGACTGTTATCATGGTTCCAGTACAGTAAACCTACTTTTTCCACTCCAACTTTTCATTATAATAGAGGCTTTCAGTAAAACAGGGGTTTTGCCTATAATCCATTACCACAACTCCAATCGTTGCCAGTATAACCTTTTCCATGACAGTCTCCCATTCCCACAGGAGTTTTAGATACACTAACAAGCTTCTGACAGCACATTTACATTTCAACAGTATTTACAGCTTATATACTACTACAATCTAGACCAAGAACAAGTCATATAGTTGTCCTTTAACTCTCCTTTCACAAAATAAGACCCATTTCCAAATTATCACATGTACTCATTAAAATAGGCCAAGCTCAGAGATTCTATAATCTTCCCCCTAAATCAAAACACCAATAATTTTAATTTTTAAATGGGCCCACTTCTGTTTCTGGAATAAATACAGCTATAAAACAACACAAGCACTTCCAGAGACATAACATGAAACTGCTTTTACTGTCAGGACTTCACTTGACAATAGCCAAACATTCCTTAACTCCGAGCCAACTAATAAGCTAAAATTCAAAGCATTCACGGGGGACTCAAGGTTTCACAAGACATTTTTTCCACTTGTAAAAACGAAGGGACCGAATGGAATCGTATCTAATGATTTTTTTTTTGCCATTTTTTTCCCAGAAGTGGCACAGAATTACTGCCTGCACAGGGGTGGAGGTTGCACAGAAGTAATTCAAACGAAAAGTTTCACCCGATGAGCTCTACAAAAGTATTTCTTGCTCAGTTCTGAAATACAGGAGGCAGCAGGAAAACTAATAATGTTTGTGTTACTCTCCTGCATTCGAAACGAGCAGCACTAATGCTCATCTTTCTCACAGCAAGAGCAGCAAAGCAAGTTTCAGGTGTTGCTCAGGGCACTGCTCTGAATCCATCGCTCCCCAGCGCAGGCTGGCACAGCAGGGCCAGGTCAACGCACGACTCGCGTCACACCGAAAAACTCCCCTTGAAAAATTCGCACACGTCAGGAAAGTGATTCAGAAAACAGCTGTTCCCCAAAGCCCTGTGGAAAACACAACTTCCAGGCTCGTTACTCGGCTTTGGAAGGAGTCTCTGCTGGAAGAAGACACAGCTAATGGAGACCCGGACACTCGTGGCTGCCAATTAAAGGAACACAAGGATGAAGCTGCGACATTGCCCGGCCAGCAGCCCCCACACCTCTGCCACCCTCCTGCAAACAGCTGTGTCCAATTAATTTGCTTACTGACTCCTCAGTCATTAAACTTTAGTCATTAAATCACCAAATTTCCAGGCTAAGTTGTTACAATCAGCGACTAAAAAAGTTTCAGCAATTTCATTTAACCCCGTCACTCCAATTCACAAAGGGAAGCTTTTCTGTGCTCTTCAGGAAAATTCCCTACTTTCACTCCAGTTGCCACTGCACAAGGCAGTACCTTAGAAAAGCTCTTCCAATTGGGTGTTCCCAGACTGATTTTCCAAATTTAGAGTAAGATTCTGCTAAGTGATGTTCTGGTAGGAAGCTTCAGCCTGATCCCTGAGCTAGGCAGGGCATTCCTGTGTGCACACAGAGCCATCCTGGGCAAAACAAAAACCAAATTCCAGGTGTTTATTCAAGAAACTGGATCTGACTGCCTTTACTACATAGCCAGGGAAAGGGCAAACTGAACTTTTCCACGACAAAGTTCTCCTTCCCTGTTCTCCTCAGCAAAAGGAAGAGATGACAAAAACAAACAGATCATAAATATCTTTAAAAGAGACAGAAGATAAAAACTACAGTTAATTTCAGTGAACACTTTGCATCACCCTTCAGGCCTGCCTGGGATCAATATTAATCAACGGGATCCTCAAAAAAAGCATGGCCAGAAGGTGGCTAAGGTCTCCTAACTTTTATCAACATCTAAGAAAGTCCTGCTGCCACATGAAAACATTCTGGGTTATGCTGCAAGAGCAGCACTTGCTTTGAGAGGTCATTTTGGGAGAACTCTTAAGAACTTCTACCTTGTGACTACTTTGAGGGGTTGTGGTAAAACAAACATAAACAAACTCAACTTAATTCTACCTAATCCAAGTGACCAAACAAATCAGTTCTGTAGGGCTTTATTTCTCTAAGAAAATGAGAATAGGAACAATATAAAGTATAATTTCCTGTTTTCCAAAGAGATGATCTACTGAATGATACCGTAAGGGCCACTGTCAGTGAAGAACCAAACTCAAGGATCTCAAAGGATATTAAAAAAGCTAAAACAGGACTGAAGTCTGGATGTCTGTATCAAGTTTATCCCACTCGACTTCCTCCAGCTTTAAAAGGCCTACCAGAACCTTGCAACTTTGGCTTTAAAGACCCCAGTCCTCGTGAATGAGTCCCTCCCTGACAAGGAACGACGCCTTCCTCTGCAATAACCTTATTTACAGGTTAACACGGAATTTACAGGTAGAACTACTGTAGTGCAAAGATTATGTGGTGTCAAGTTCATACACAAAGTCACCTTACAACCTATGGTAGAGGCAAATAGCGTATGTTTGTCTTGCCTAAGCTAAAAAGCAGCCTCAGACACAGCCTGCAAGCAGTGATGGTGAGGTTTGAAGGCTTCTCACGCACAGCTTGTGTGTTTATAAACCTGGCATGCACTAGGCTGTGAAACACTTTCAGGTGGCTGTTTTCAGACCCAGTGGGTTTCTTTTCTGTTTGTACTTCGGGATTTCTGTAATGAGAACATCTAATGCTTTCCTGGAATATCACCAGTGCCTTTAAAGATCTGCACGTAATTAAATCCAAACTCTCCGTGTCGCTGCCTGACAACAACTGGCTGACTTTGAAAGGAAACTTGTACTTCACTGCTCAAGAATTTTTGATTAGATTTTAAAATCAGGTAGTGCAGCACACACCAATGCAAAAAAAAAAAAAAATCATTTAGTTTTGACTCCTAGCTTTAAGGACACGGGAGAAGGAAAGACCCTTGGCAAAGCCACAAGAAGCCTTTTCCCTTTGGATTAACCTCTCTGGCCACACGGTGCCTCTGCTGCTCAACAAATACTCCGAGGCTGAGCAAATATTTTCTGCTGGTTAATCACCAGCTGCCATCCATGAACTGCACTGGTGTGAGCCCACATCGATCCGCCCAGGATAAAGCCAGGTCAATATTTGATCATCCTGAAGGGCCCTCGTTAGCTGGGACCGTCAGTCCTGCAGGAGCACCTCAGACAAACCATCGACTCACACGGTGCTACAAAACACGGAGCCAAGGCTGCCAGGTTTCCCAGGCACCCCCACACAGAGGACAGGGAGTTTGGATCGAATTTCTCTGACACAAATCAGACCTGACACCACGCAGCGCTCACCACCAACGCCGTTCACGGCTTTTGGCAGTCCTAAAGTCCTCCCGTCTGCTCCAGCTAGGTCTACCTTTTGGCCTCACGCGTGGTCACCCAAGGTGGACACACATAAAAATTTATGAAGAGCCTGGCTGATTAGAGAACTGTCACAAAAAGCATTCAATATCTGACTGAAGCTGGAGGACACACAGGCAGTGAGATCAAGTGATAAGGGAGCACAACAGCACTCAAATTTTACGTACTAGAGGGCTGCAGCATTTTGGCTGGTTGCATTAGAAGTGATCAGTTCAACCTCAATGGAAGCAACACGTCAGCTGGAATATTCCTCTGTTATCTACATTTGTACTGGATAAACTCTAATTAGTTAACAAAGCCTCAGCACAGGTAGCACATCATGAAGCCCAGCGGTAACGTAAAACTTTCCACATCACTGGGAAAAAAAACCTGCCACGTTCCAAAGAAATGATTTCATCAGATTTCATTTCCTTCACCGAGTGGAGTCTTCCCCAGACATGTGATTTGCCATCCACTGAAGTGTACAATGTCTGAACAGTCTCAAGTGACAGGTTAAAAACACTGCATTTGTACAGTCCTCCCTGCAGACAAGCAAAGCCCGGCCTCTGACATATTGTTCCTTTCTAAGTGATTAAACATTAGTATGAGTTTTTTTAAATTTATTTCTAACGTAGCAGGACTACAAAAGTCACACAAAGAACATGATAAAGAGGCAATACAATGCAATCAAAGCAAGCAGACACTCGAGCTCTGAAAAAGACACTTGACCAACTCTTTTATTTCAAGAGTCCATCTTTGCAACACAAAGGATTTTCCATCAAGTTCAACAGGGGCCACGAGGCCTCAGCGGGTGCAGCAACGATACCCAGCTGGCGTGAACACTGCTGGACATAAAGCTTTGCAGTCTCATATAAATATTTACATGTGCCAGTGTGTACTGAACACTCACTGACACCAAATGCACAGTTTCTAGAGCTGGCTATGCGTGTCCTTCATTCCACTTCACAGTGCAGCACCAAGCCCTTACGGTGTTTAGAAAGAAGGCTTTCAGCGAGGAGGAAGAATATATTTTCTATACGTATGCATCAGCTGGCTTCCAAAGAGATTTATGCTAGGAAGGCCTCCCTCACGTTCAGATCTAGGTCTAAAGTGCGCTGACAAGTGCGTGAGCTGCACTGCACGGGAAGGAGACAAGCTGCCGGGAGCAACGCTCTGCACAGGGGACACACGGACAAACGCACACAGAAGCACACGGAAACGAAGACAATCTGCTTCAGAAACCCTACACCCAACCCGGGGTCAGGTTGCAGAGGTTGTTGGGGGGGGGGGTGTGGTGGAAGACCCAGTTCTGCCGGGCTCGCCGAGGACCCCTGTGGTTTCCCAGTGGAAGAGCACAGCAGCAGAGAGAGCGATCCCCGAACAGGGGCCGTTCTCCCGCTTTCCAGCAGTTTCTCTGAGGTTCCCACTTGCCTGCCAGGCTTAAGTGGAAGGCTCCAGAGAACAGAAGAGAGGGATGTAGGTATTCGGTTTAGATCGAGTCTCAGATGCAGTTAGACACGACTGTCAGCTCGATTCTGGGGCGAGGAGACAGACGCTTTGTAACACGCGCTCGCCTCCCCACGACACAAGATTACAAGACTCAAGACATAAATTACTTTTACCTCAACGTGTGCCAGTGTCCTGCCAGCAAGTTATTCAGCTGCTGAGGATGGAGTTGTAGCATAAAGCAATATATTGTGACAAGATACAGATGAGGAAAGAAAAACTTCTCCCCCCTCTTCCTCAGGAAACCCAGAATAAAACCCATCATCTTTAATCCCAGACAACTCACAAATCTCAATTTTCCCCCACAGGCAAAAAGATCACTACGTGACTGGGTTTTATTTCTTTTTTTTCTTTTCCCCCCACCTTTTCATCTTACATTTGCTAACTCAAAATCCAAAGTCAGAAAAAATATATATATATTTAGTCAGAAGTACGTCAGTTACATTTTATTAACCTACTCCAAGGAAAAAGCTCCAGGGATTCACCATACAAGTATAAAACCCCTTTCAAACACCTAGGGGTCACTATATTAACTTCATCCCAGCAGTCAATCAATGCAGTAAAAAAATTAAAATACTGAAAATGGATGCTTTTTTCCTCTGCCACGTGTCCAGTGGTTGCTCCGTTACAGCGTGATGAGGTCCACCAGGTTGCCTTTGGGAGGGGTCATGTTGTCTGGAAAGAAGTTGACTAGCGTGTCAAACAGCTGAGTTCTCTGGGCATACGTGTGGTCAACATCTGAAAATCCTGGGGAAGGAAGAAACAGGGAAATTGAGTCAGTTCTCACTATTCTAAACGCTCCGTGGAACAGCCCAGTTGTCCACTTGGGATCGATGTTAACAGTTTGCTACTTCTGCCTCCACTAACAGGGCTGCCAGCCCTGCACCCCACTGCTGTGTGCACAGAGACACAGAGATCACGTCACCCCAAGCCAGCACTGCAATCAAAATGCCATAAAAAGTAATAAGCAAATGCCTGTCAAGCTCACTGACAGCCCTGAAGAAACAGGGGAAGAAGGAGTTCTCGGGGGAAGGGGGGGGATGCTGCTCTGATGTCCCAGAAAACAAAATCTGTGTAGCTATTTTTATTTGGTGCCTCATTTCTTCTGTCCTCGGGCCTTCCTCGTTATCTTCACTGCCATAACCAGAACAGCTCCTAGGATTGCTTGGAGTTTTCCTTGAGACAAGCCCTGCTGATGGGTAGGAGTCTCAAGTCAGGTATTTACTCACTGGAGTTGCACAGGGGACCTTGGCTGCATCTTGGCACAAAGGAGCTTTGCAAACTGGGTTTCTGAAATGCTGCCTCCTGACAGGGGAGGGATTGATCTGCATTGTTTATCCAAATCATCACACTAAAACCATCAGCAGCAAGAACAATAGGGCAGGCACACAATGATTTCCTCTGCTTTGTGTTACTTCCATCGCTGGTATCTCCAAGGAATGCTTTCTAATTCAGTGAACTCACTCTTCAGTTAATCAAAGTCAACCAAGTTAATCAAATCAAGGAGGGCTGGGGTTTTTTGCTTTATTTTAGAAGCACTGCTTGACATGTGTATCCTATCTGTAAAGCCAAACTCTGGATAAAAGCACTGATCTGATTCAACAACTAATTCATCTTCTACCACACTTAAAACCAGGGACAGGTTTTGAGGGTGGTGAAAGACTGGCACAAGTTGCCCAGAGAAATTATGGCTGCCCCATCCCTGGGAGTGTTCAAGGCCAGATTGGACAGGGCTTGGAGAAACCTGGTCTAGTGGAAGGCGTCCTTGCCCGTGGCAGGGGTCTGGAATGAGATGAACTTATTTAAAGTCCCTTCCAACCCAAACCACTTCGTGACGCTACAAAAAAAAAATCCAACTTTTCTGAAACATCTGTTTGCTTTCTTTAAAAACAAAATTAATTTCAAGGGATCAACTAGATGTCTTCCAAACCACGCCAGCTCTGCAGAGCTTCCTCATCCAGCAGGGCAGACAGTGCGGTGGGCTTTTTCCTTCCCTCAGTTCCTTAGGTTGGGAATTCTGCCTCCAGAAAAAAAAAATGAAGTTGTCCAAACTCTCAGCAAGAGTCTCAGCAATCTGAGGACAACGCAGCACCACAAGGATGTAAGCTGTGCCTACAGCCTTCCTGCTGCCCTCCCAGGATTAATCTCTGAGCTCTGTAAAAGAGTTAAATGGACAGAGCAGCGAAACAAATCATGGCTTTGGCTCAGCCCGCCTGTTTCCAGCCCTTCACGCCACTGTTTTCTTCGCTCTTGACATTCTGCCCAAAGAACTCGTTCTGCAAAGAACAGGGCGAACCAAACTACTCCAGGAATTGCAGTTATCACAGCAAACAGAGCTGCAGCCATGCTGTGAGAGTCCAAAGTGACATGACAGGAGGTGCTTTATTCTGACCAAAGCTTCTGTTTACTTGGGTAACAGCGAAGGATCAGATGTATTAAGACACACAAAATGATCCCAGGAGGCACTGGTTTAAAACCACTGATGTTGACAGATGTTTTAAATATGGGCTTGAGGCACTGGACACTGGTCACTATAAATAACCTCTCAAATGTCTGGGTAGTGGCACTTTGCATATTCAAAATGAAAAAGGGCCTACAATGTTCATAGGAACTACAATATTTGATAGAAAAACCAGTAGAAACTAATAGCAATTATCAAATGGAACATCATGTAATTCCTCTGACACACAATACTCACCAAGAGTCGTGAAATCCGAGCCAGACTTAAATAATGCTGAGGCAAGAAGCTGAAACTGCAGAAGAGGTGAAGGGAGAAAGAAAGAAAAAAGTGTTATTAACCACACAGGAAAAAAAAAAACCCAAAAGGTTCATAGAAGTCCAAGTGGCTTTAAAGTTGCTGTGTTTTCTCTGCACAGTGCTCAGAACTGCTGTGCCATACACATGAATAAGAGCAGCAGGCACTTTCACATGAGCAATACAATTTGTCACCTTGGCACAAGTTGGGTGGTTTTTCCTAGAATTAGAGCAGTGTTGATGCAATGAAAGGTACTTGACTGAGAGCTCTAAAAATCTCTTTTTTTTTTTACATATAATTTTTTGCCTCTTTGGCAGGTACCACAGAGCAGAAGGAAGAGTCTCTTCCACGCAGTAACATTCCCATGGATTAACATGGTACAGGCTCAGCAGGCAGGGATTAGATAGCACAAAAACAGGGGAACTGCTGGAGTGCAGCATGAACTTCTTGAGCACACAGAAAGCTCTGCCCAGAGAAGTTCTGGATGTTCCATCCCTGGAAGTGTTCAAGGCCAGGCTGGATGGGGCCCTGAGCAACCCGATCTAGTGGGTGGCATCCCTGCCCATGGCAGGGGGTTGGAACTGGATGGTCTTTAAGGTCCCTTCCAACACAAAACACTCCATGTTTCTAATGGTATCAACCTTTCTGAACTGCCAGAGAAGCTGGAATCACAATCTTAAGGCAGCATCTCTTTAATTAAAAATAAAACTTCTTTGGGAACATCAGAGTCACGAGTGCAAACGTTTTAAGTAACACATTCAAGGTTTTAATCTCCCTTAGTATCTCACTGATGGACAGTGACCAGGACCTTCCTCTGCCCCAGCTGCTGTTCTCAGTCACCCACAGAGTAGCAAAGCTTAGTGCTTTGTCATGTTCCTGTAAGGAACGAGCTGATGTCTTAAAGGCTTCGAATCTCGTGTCTCCTGCGTGTCTTTTCAGCACATAAGCCCAAAGGGGAGAAGAGGGGGGAAGAACCAGGATAAATACGTTCAGGGAAGGAGTGGAAAGAATGGCCACGAATTACAGATCCACCAGTTTCACTTCAATTTCAAGAAAAAATGGGAACACAGACAATTTGAAGGCATGAAAGAGTGGAGAAGGTGATGAGTAGCAGCCAATGTGAGTTTGGCAACAACAAGTTGTATCACATCAATCTGATTTCTTTTATGAGGCAGCAGGTCCTACGGATGGGACTTGGCAATGGACGTTGTCCATTCTGACTTCCATAGGAATTCTGATGCTTTTATATGATATTTAAAGGCAAATTATCAAGGCATCACCCAGATTTAGCCAACAGGGAAAGGAAAACAGGTCAAATAACTTTTCTGTGGGTGGCCATCAGTGGTTTGACATGAAAATGGGAGCCATGAATCAGGAGTGATTCATGTGTGCCCTGGGGTCAGCACCATCCTGGGTCTTCAGTCACAACCTGCTTGGCAGGACAGGGCAGGATCACCAAGCCCACAGGCCTTAGACCACACTCAGGCAGACTGACAGCATGGAGCAGGCAGCCCTCCCACTGTTTTTCCACTAAATCCAGCTTGAAATGATGGATCAAGGTGTGTTTCATTAGGGCCACGTGCAAATCAACATAAATCAGTGATACAAAAACAGGTGCAGAGGCTCTGTGAAAATGCACTTAAGAGTTATAACAGATCAATGTCATCCTATTGTAAAACTGGCAAATGCATAGAAAGTGCACAAAGAAGGAGCAGGATCTTCCAATAAATCAAGCATTCCTTCTGTTATCAAGGCTTGTAAGTCTCCTCTACAATAAGGCACCCACTTTGGGGTGCCCCTCTATCAATTAGCAACATAGGAAAAAAGCATTAAAAAAAAAAAATGTAGTGGTCTGAAAACCAAGTTCTATGAAGAAAGTTCAAAGGAGTCATGTCTGCATAGCCCCCACAGAACAATGACCAGGGAGGAATCTGCCAGAAGTCACAACTGCAGAAAGCTGCTACAAGAAGTAAATCTACAACTAAGTGCAAGAAGCCACAAAAACACATCAGCAAGATCAGTTTCAACGTGGCATCAAGGGCAAAAGCAATCTAAATTAAGGACTGTGGTGTGCTGGAGTGAGTTTGCATCTTTTGGAGAGGGTGTCCTGGGAAGGTATAAGAACAGGTCAGAAAGATGAAGATTGACAAACTCCAGAAGAGGGGGGAGAGGGTGATTAAGCTTCCTCTTGAGTGTGAGGCCTGGTCATCCCAAATCACGAGTGACTGCAACGCTCCACGTGTACTTCCCTGCAAGCTTAATTTCCCAGAGCTGCTTGGCTTCCAATCGGCAACGTGCTGCTCAAACAGCTGCCCAGCAGAAATAGCTCCAAAAGTTCCAATAAAACCCGTGGCTAAATCTGTGCTGCTTCTGAGAGCAAATGCCATGTCCTGGCCACCCTTCCCTCCCACACAATTGCCTCAGGGACCTGCTGCCAAGGTGGATGCCACGTGATTCCAGAGGTTCCCTCTCCTCCCACAGCAATGCCAGCAGCCTTCCCGCTGGGAGCAGAAAGCCACACTCCAGGCTGGGGCTCAGGTGCCCTACTAAGAGAGAATATAACCAGGATCCAACATGTAATTTGCTGAACCGAGACTAAAAATCCACTGAAAAGACCTTATGCCAAGTATTCCAGCCTGGAATGGATGCAGGCACCAGGCAGGATGGATTTTCATGGCTACAAGTTTCTTCCCCATAAAGCTGGACAGAAGTATCTTGTTTCCTTCTTCACTGATGACACTGCACTTCAGTTAACCTTGAGGGCTGTTGTTTGTTTGGCTTGACATTAAGTTTATGTCTCAGCTCGCATTTAAAAAGCACTTTCTGATAGATAAGTCAAGCACAAAAGTTAAGAACATCAGTTACAGACAGTGCTAAGCCTAAATTGGTTCACTCTGCATTTGCATTATTATCCCAGTTTAACCCTATGATGTTCTCCCAAAGGATACCTTCTTTCCCAATGCATAGGATGGTTACTGCTTACTCAAGACCACTCCTTCAGTTTTCTTACATTAAATGTTATTGTAATAGCACTTCAAAGTCTGATTAATTCTGGGTCCCCTCCTTGAAACTAACAGAATCTGATTTTTCAAAATAATGTTATGCAACAACTTCTGAATTCACAGAAAAGCAAAGCCCTCAAGCAAATCACACCTGAGGTCTCTCCCATCAGGCACCAGAATGAAACACCCCGTTAATGACCACCTAGAAAAACAATTTGCTTAACATCACATGGCAACTCTGTTACAGAGGCAAGACCAGAATTCAATTATCCAGCAGAAGCATCCAACTGCTTTAATCACACACCACCCATTTTCTTCCGTCAATCCCTCTGGCTCACTGGCCTCATCCATTCCAAATTAAGCCTGCACTCAAAAGACAAGTTTCCTTTGTCATACAATTAACTTCTCTACGAGATCCAACTCACCTTCTGAACTGAGCAGGGGTTCCCTTGGAGAAAACTAGATCTGGTGAACTAAAATAAGGCTGTATTAGCTGTATCTATTTTTGTATATCTGCTGCACACCTCTGCCTTGGCAGCACTGAAATGGTTAAGGGGGGGAATGAGTAACTCCTGTTTGGGATACCTGGCAGGTTGTTTGAATCAGACATAATTCCTCCTCCTCCCTCTCCATAACTGAGCGCTCAGATCACAGTGCAAACCAGCTCCTCAGCTCTGCCCAGTTCTCTGGGGCTGGTGACTCTCAGCACAGGCTCAAAGAGGCAAAGAGAGGCTCAAACTCTTTGAGGATGGAGCCATCACTGAAATTGGGAAGGCTGAACACTGTTTTTCTAAAGGCTCCTTGGCTCCAAAGCCTCTGCTCCTGCAGCACTCAGGCTCTGAGGCTTTACAAAGAATCACAGCAGGACATGAAGAAGAGAAACAGGCTTTTCTTAGCTCCTTCCTAGAACTATTTTTCCCATTTGGGCTTGAATTTTCCCAGAAATATCAGTCTAATGCAGACTCAAACAATACTTTCGGAGCCCGCTGGCTTTATCTGTCAAATTTATTAAAGACTAGATTTTAAGAATGGAAAGTATGAAGCAGCCTTGAACAGGGGCCTCCAGCCTGGGTCTACAAGCAAGTCAGGCCTCAAATTGGCCTCCAGGTCCTTGCTCTTTCTCCTGCCATGCTCCAAGAAAAACATACTGCAAGTTTTCTTTGTGCTTGGTATCTGTTTTACAACAATCATGGGATTGAGCTTCGTCAGTCGCTGACTCTCCATGTACAAAGTCATCTTTTGCTCTCCTTTACTTGGAAAGCACTGGACTTTTTTTTGTATCATCCTGATTTCTAATGTAACCCATTTAAGAGCAGCAAAGTTCTGGGTATGATTCCTGCAGTGTTCAAGGAACAACATTTTAGCTTGGTACATGATCTACTGATGTTTCTGTGCTTTAATAGAACCCGTTTTTCCTTAAACACAACTTGGAATTCAACTTGATGTTTATTTTGACCATCTTTTTCTCTTTAAAAGCCTACAGCTTTAAACTATCACCAAAATCTGTGGGAGAAAGAGAACACCCATGCCACCAGGAATTTTTACACCAACAAATGACACTTTTATACAACTTTAATCTCTTAAATCATGGACAAAATTCTACGTGCTCTGGGGATCTACTCTCCTTTACCATACAGTGTCAGGGCTATTAATCCACAGTCAGTGAACAAGATTTACTGATCAGAAAACCCTGAACTGACTGAAGGGGTTTCGGTGATTTCAAGCAGAATCACAGTGAAAAAGAACTGGATCTGCATTTGTGGGTAGAGGAATTAGTGGCACACAGCCTGTGGCTACTAAAACAGGCACCCCTGCAATACTTGTTACTTGCAGGCATCTACTTCACTTCAGAATAATAAAAAAAGTGAAATGAAAATATAATCCTATTAGCATCCCTAAAATTCACAGCAATGGAATGAAAATCTGGGGGTATGTTCCTACCATCAATCATTCATGCTACTTTAAACAAAATTGGTTACTAACGCCAAAGTAAGTTTCAAGAACAGTCTGTTTGTTTTCCTTGGCATCCAACTCCAAACAGCTGAACAGACTTGTCTAACTAAGTTAGAAGGAATTACTTCTATTACAAAGCAAGCAAACCTCACCGCAAGGGGAAACTCTGTTTGTAATGGTATAGAACACCACCCACACCTCAGTCCAGAAAACATGAAGGTCTGGTCTCCAGGAGAACTATTGCACAGGGTTGGGGATAAAACTATTCAGCTTGGTCCTTCCTAAATTTAACAGATCCCCAAGGAAGAGGGAAAACAGGCAGGAATTGCTTCCCTGAAGATCTGCCACACTAAGAATCCTTACAGCCTTCCATGGCTGCAGCCAGCACGGAGCACGTCAATCACCTTTGATATTAACTAAGACAATCTCAACGACAAATAAAGGCAGAGCATGGAGGTGTCTGGGCTGAGAGACACGAGCAAACTGGTGCTTGAAATTCGATATGGAATCCAAAAAGCCTGCGTCAGTCCTTTGGAAAGCACAAGAGAGCTGTTTGAAGATGCAATGCCAGAGCAAAAAGCCAACTCGATGTGATAACCGGAAGGTAAATTGACGTCAACTGGAAATACAACCAGTCAGTACCAGCCCAGCAACTGGCTCAGGGCCACAGCCCTGCCAGATCTGTTCCAGGGTAAAAAAGCTTTGGAAGTAAAACCTTTACGACCAACACAGTTAATATTTAAAAAAAAAAAAAAGAACAAAACCCAAACAACAACAACAACAACAAAGTGTCCCAAAAACCATTAAATGATTTTTGGAGGTCACTGGAATGGAAGCTTTAATTCTGCTGAATGGTTTGTGTTGATCTGTGGGACCAGCACGACAGACAGAAGCTATTGGATTTTGTTTGGATCAGACATTAGGCCTGCAGAGAAAAGAATCCACAATATATTCACTCAGCTGGACTGAGCTATCTAAGCTCACATGCTGGATCATTGATGTCCAGAGCACCAGTGTGCTCTCTGGAAACGGGTAAACCTTTTCCAAACATTTTATTCTGTTTCTACCCTGTCAGATAAAGCTGTTAGATTCCCCCAAAATCTCTGAGGAGCCCATGCAGGCAGGTAAATTCTTCATTCTTACAAGTTGGACAGGTTGAACAATATGCACTAAACTGGAGAGAATGGAATGTAGAATATTAAAAGGCTTTCCTGTGCCCAATGTGCAGCATCCACAGCAGCTCCTTCAGTCTGTGGGTGACAACAGGCAGCAGGAACGAGGAGAGCAGCTTGCTGATCACACCACAGAGGTTTTCTTTCAGGGAATAAAAAGGCCCAGACAGCCATGAGATCAAGATCTCTTTAGGAGCAACTGGCCAAAGCAACACAGGAGTGACACAGAGAAAAAGGGAGATCACAGAACACAGGACAGGGTCTTACAGGAGTGGGAGGGAGCAGAAGGAGAGAAAAGAGCTTTAGAATGGGGATTTGTGCCTTGTGGGTTAGTACAGGTTCAAACAGGAAGAAGAAACCTCAAATCCTGTGTCCAGTTCTGGGCCCCTCACAATAAGAAAGACATTGAGGGGCTGGAGCATGTCCAGAGAAGGAAACGGAGCTGGGAAAGAGTCTGGAGCACAAGTCTGATGAGCAGCAACTGAGGGAGCTGGGGGGGCTCAGCCTGGAGAAAAGGAGGCTCAGGAGGGACCTTCTGGCTCCCTACAATTCCCTGACAGGAGGGTGGAGCCAGGTGGGGGTTGGTCTCTTCTCTCAAATAAGGAGTACCAGGACAAGAGGAAATGGCCTCAAGTTAAGACTGGATATGAGGAAAAAGTTCACCAGAAGGGTTGTCAAGCATTGGCACAGCTGGCCAGGGCAGTGGTGAATTTACAGGGATTTAAAGGACGTGTAGATATGGTACCTGGGGACATGGTTTAGTGATGGCCTTGGCTAATGGTGCTGGGTTAATGGTTGGACTTGATCTTAGAGGGCTTTTCCACCTTAAAGGATTCCATGAAAGTGCTACTACACTGGTACAAGACAGTGACTAACTGGGGAAAAATAACAGTATCTCCTTTTTCTACCTTAAGAACAGCACAATCATTTGTTGTCTTTCCTACGTTAGAAACAACTATAAAGTAAGTGAAACAACCTGATATGGGACAATTTAAATGAGAAACCATCTAACAGAACATACAGGCATATTGGATCAGATGCTTATAAAGGCTGACCAGAATTTTTGACAAATGTGACCAGTTCCAAGATCCTGATAAGGGTACCCACTTTTTTCATAATTCTAACCCTAAATTCTACACTGTGTACACTCAAGCAGCGTTTTCTCCCCCAAAAGCGTTCAGTGTCTGTATAATCTTTTCTTTATCTAAAATAGCAGGTTAAAACCACCAGCTTAAGTGATTTAATCCAAGGACTCAGCATGGAGTAGAAATGCCCATTTCTCCTATCACGATTTTATAAAAGAAGCTGCTGAATGACTTCCAAAGTCATTAAGGCAAGAAGACAGTAAGGACCATGGAGTTTTCCCCAACTCCCCCATGGGAGCTGAATGCTGGCACATCTTTCCATATGGAAATTAATGATGAAGTCAAATCAATCACTTTTATCTGTCACTTCTCACTATTTCTTTAATCTGTTTGGTAAAGTGACACATACTGCGGTGCTGGAATCAAAACAGGAAATGGGAACAAATTCCTGGAATAAATAAAAGAACATGCCTACTGGACAATATTCAAAAGGCAGAGGAAATAAGATTTTAAGGGCAGTAAGCAATGTATATACACAAATTATATTATATAAAAAAATACTGATCATCTCAGGAAAAACCTCTTTCCCCCTCCCAGAAGCTGCTGAATATTGACAAGCCAAAAGGCAGCATGAATAAGTTTCTCCTCATTTTCTACCACACAACCAACTGCAGACTTGTGACATTTCAGAGAGTTTACATTTCAATTAAAGCTCCCAAAATACACACCAGTATGCTGGAATTAAAACAAAGGCCTACTCTTCACCCTCAGGAGTACAAAAGCTATTTTATCTGGACCTGAAGTTAAATGACTGCTTCTAAAGCAGGGTGAACTTTAGTAGGGAGAAATATATGGTAAAGCGTTGGACACCTGCAGAGCTTTTATAAACTGAATAAAAACAAGGTTTAAGAGGCTCAAAATTTCTACTGAGAACAGTTTAAATTTTTTTTTAAGACCAGGATTTGTTGAGCCCTCACCTCTTTTGTCTCCTCGGGGTCCGAGTGATCCACGGTCACATACAAGTCATTCTGCAGGTACTTCAGTGCACTAAGAGGGTCGGTCTGAGCTTTTTCTTCGAACCTGAAGAGACAGAAAACTTGAGCACAGGCATTTCCTTCAGGCCTAAGTACTACCAGTTCTACAAAGAGCAAAACCCATCTATCAAAACCAGCATTTCCAAAGAAAACCACGTGAGTGGCAGCTCAGCCTGCATTTGCAGGAATACAGACTGAAACGTGGAGGAGGATTTTTTTGGGGGGGTGTAAAGAAGTTACAAGAGCAAAGCATCACCCTCTTACTAAAAATATTCAAAAGCATATGTACAGCAAGTTCTTAATGCACATATATAAAACAGTCAAGTTTGTTTGGTTTGTAAGGTGTGAGTAGCACCTCATGTGAGTAGAACAGTTCAAACACAGGAAAGTTTTGAGCACTTGAGGGATATTAAGATCCTAGGTACCTAAAAATCCTGTTCACCACCACCATTAACAACCAGAAACTGTAACTTCTGTGAATTCCCTGGAAGAGGTTCATAGAGCCCTGAGAAAATGATTCTGGGCTGAGTATCCTCAGTGAGCAGAGCTACGCCCCTGCAGCACTGATTGGGTGCATAAGCCTAGAAAGGATGAAGTTTAAAATTATCTTTCCCCTTCTATCACCTATCACACTGTCATCTCATTGTTATTTTTTTTTATTTGGGTTATTTACTTGGTTATTTATATCACAGTGGACACGTGTAGCCCAAATTTTGAAATTGGCTAAAGATGCAACTCCAGCCAAGCACCCATCACACTCAGCTGGTCAGGCTTGGCTCCCTCACAGGGAACCCAAAAATGGGAGCATGGTGCATAAACTCCAAATTTCTGCCACACAATACACAGCAACACTTCCTTTGAGTGCCATTTAAGCAAGAAAAAAACCAAATAATCCACAGCTGTCCTTGGAGGCTGCAAAGCTGCATCTCCATACCACCACATCTGGGTTTAATAAGCCTCCCAGATAACTGGGCAAGGCCTTTATTAATTTTTGTAGGTATTCACATCTACTGTGTGGCTGATCTTAAAAGGCCCCACCCAGCCACAGTGGTTTTGAGTTGAGTGCAGAAATTTTCTTGCAGCCTCAGAGGTAAATACCATCAGGAAAAGCTGACCTCCCAGCTCTTGGCAGCACCTGATAACAAAGTATTCTCCCCAGGAATGCAGGCTGAGCTATTTATTGGCTTCAAATAATTTGCTGGGTCTTGAAAGGCTGTTTTCTGCTGCAATTTCTTGACTAAGGCAACACCCTAAGCTTGATTTTGAAAAGCCGTTGCCCTAAATAGCAAATATAAGGCAGCTCTGAAGCATCCAGAGTGCAGGAAGCATGGCTGTGTAGCTGAATTCTGCCTAAGTGAGCTCTTTCAGGAGCTTCTGAATGAGAAACTCTGATGACCTCACCACAGTTGAGTCTCAGATGTGCAAAGGCATCCAGCCCCCAGACTTCATTAGCATCCTTGTGAGCTGTTACTATCTCCTAGCACAGTGTTTCCAAAACACACTCCATTTCCCTGGGAGGTGACAGCACCAAAACGCATGTTGATGAGCAGCAGAGTGAAAAGGGAGTCTAAAAATTCCCCATGGCTCCCCCCACACCACATTTTTCTAGTTTTAGAATAACCTAGTCAAAGCAGAATGAAGTTAATTTTGTTGTTTAGTTCTGCCCTGCCGTGTTTTATTAAAATAATATTAAAAAATGATCAAGAAACCTGCAGACCATCATAGCACAGAATCATAGAACGGTATGAGCTGGAATGGACTTTGAAGATCATCTAATCCATATAACCAATAAAATGACATTTCCCAAAATGGTGCAAGATATTCCAAGTTTCATCAACTTTAAAAAAAAGAGACACTTGGAAAATAACATTACAAACCACCTTTGTTTCTATACCTGTGCTTTCTTATGAGGTATTTGCAGTGTCTTAGCAGGTATTCCTTTGAAGGTCGACAGAGCTTCAGAGACCAGAAATCATCTAATCTCATCTTTGGAGAGCAGGATTTACCAGGATTCCCTCCAAATAAGTAATGAACCTAAAGAAACGAGAGACAGATCAAAAAGTTGATTGTTTGTGTACGTGAACTTAACAAGGACAAGTCACTATGTCAGCAACTTTGAAGAGGTTTGTTCTTGAGGGAGAAATTCTGCCTTTTAGTCAAGTTGCTCCATCTTGTTATTAGCCTCATTTTGTCCCTTAGGAGATGAAGAAAGTTCTCTTAAACCACTTACATTTGAAGATAATAAAGAACCTACCTCTAGCAGATTCCTGAGATATTTATAAACAAACATCTCAAACCCACACATGTTCTTTCTTTAGAAACAACCTATGAGCATGATGGACCCTTAAGCACCAACCAAGTGAGTGGGAAGTCCTAAAGATGCTCCAAGTAAAATGACAGCAAGCCCAGAGCAGCATAATTCTGGGAGATGACCAATGTCCCCACATGTGCCATAAACTCTGAAGAGCTTTAATTCAACCTATTTCTGAAATGCAAGACTAGACTTACAGAGAGAGAGGCAAATTTCCAGAAGAGTGGAAGTGTTGCAAAAAGGACTGTTTATTTCTTCACTGTATTTTTCTTCCCATCGTTTGGTAATTCCAGATTCTGAACTGTTGATATTAAACATGCTACAAAGGATCTTCAAGTACTGAGGTTCAACAAGTCCAACAGGCTACCTTTCCCCACAGCTTTAAAAATAATCACTCAAAACAATGTATTCTGCATCCCACTGCTGTAGGCACTCCTTATTTATATCAGAGGAGTTTAGAAAGGTCATTGGAACAGAGGTTTCTAAAAATAAAGACTCTTCAAAACAAGTACATCAAACAGCTCTTCAGATAAAGCTGGGCAACTGCAATGATTTAGCAACCTTCAGAGTAACTTATAAAATACTACTCTCAGTCTCAGGGTACTTTGCACTTAGAAGTAAAGGCAGAGCAGTATTTACAGTCAATATTACAGTCTGTGAAGACAACAAGCAATGCAAGTTCTCCGTGTAGGATTTGCACCTATTCCTCCTTCAGACCCCGTTTATCCCCAAAGTTTTGGGCTAGTTGGGTTTTCCAGATTTGACTGTCATCCCACAGAGTGCAAGACTAAAATGTATTTCTGTTCTTCAACCCAGGCTAAAAAGAATTTCTAGAAAGAGTTTAACTGCAAAATATCCGTGAAAGGTTCAGTAAGTTTCTCACAGTAATTTAAATTAATGGGTTATTCAATTTATGCACCTAATCTGTGGGTTTGTGCTTTCCTGGTTAATATGCACAAACCCCTAAGTTTACTGAGCAGTCAGGTACACTAAAACCAACTTTAAGTCTACTTAAGCATGAACGTGTCTGACAGTGCTAAACAATGACAGTTGCTTCTGACACACAGGGCAAAGTCAGGCACCTCTGGTACAGAAGATGCTTAACTGGGATTTAGTTCATCCCAATTTTTCCTAGAAATGTTGGTAACTGAGACCATTTAGTCACTAACAGATTGTAAGATTAAGACCCTGAGGATAACAAAGCAAGATTCACGTGTTTTAAAGTGAGAACAGCTCTCGTGTCTGCTCCGTACTGACATAAAAAGCAGCTCAGCATTTCATTTCAAAACACGGTAAGTTAAATGAAAGTTACTGACCATATTAATCCAAACCTTAACTCTGAAAAAAACCTATATTCATTGTACCATCTTTGAAGAAACAGCTTCATCTTAAAGAGCAGTAAGACTAAAAAAAGTCATGTATTTTATCTGGACCCTCATACCTTGTGCAACTCATCGTACACCAGCTGATGGGCAAACCTGGGGCAGGGCTCCTCTTCCTGAAGGCTTTTACCTGGATTCTCTTTTGCTGCTTGGTCATTCTTATAGACACATGACCTGAAATACAAGGCAGTAAATAATGGTTAATTAGGACTCAGAGGAAGTAGGAAAGGTTGCTGAAAGGCTGTATACAAATGGTGTGTAACACCAAAGATTTTCTTACTTCTCTACATCTCTATTATCCCATCCCCATTCTCTGCCCTACAAAGAAACCCATCCAACAATCAGAGGTCACCATGACTGAACAAAATCATCAAGCGCAAGCCAAACAGGGAAAAAATTCTAGAAAATTATCTGTCATGAGCTTTGGGGGTATCTTTAGATGTTATATTATCTACCCACAGAATTGTCAGCATGAAGTCTTTTTTATTATGGAGAAAAACATCTTGGACCCAGAGCTTTAGACCACGGACTACAGTAAAGCTGTAATCAATCAATCAATCACTGATTTCCAAAGCAGACTTAAGTTGTAACTGAAAATCCATTTTTAGAAAGCAACATTCACACCTTTCAAAGTGATTGGCCCCCACATTAGAAGAGACCTTGAATACAAAAACTCTGACAGCTCTGGAAAGGGACAGTGGCAACCAGAACACAGCAAACAGACCAGGATAACTTTTCTCAGAATAGTAGATATACCATGGACACTTCTCACCCACCATTCCCATGCACCAGTTTCCTTGGTTTCTAATAACTGGCACCACATAGCAGTTATCAACTGTACCAGTATTATCAACTTACACTTGACTGAATTTGCTGCACTGATGATGAATCCTGGCCCTGAGCACTTCCTACAGGAAAAGCCTTTTATAACTGCTCACTTCCCCTTGTCCCCTCCAGCTGGCTACAATAATTCACATGATTTCTCTCCCTCATTTGGGAGATTATTGCCATGGTGTCTTTAAACACTATGGGAAAAAGAGGTGCCTCAGGGGAACTTAGTTGTCTTCAACATCATCGTTCCAGGGTCAACAGAGGTTACAATTCCTTGGGAGACGGGATTGCTTTCCAAAGAAAGTCAGTGTGGAAGTTAGAATTTATGACTTACCAGCTGTTCCTCACAATGTCATAAATCCAGAATGAATTCCTTACATTCTCTTCCCGCTTCTCCTTGTCTTTACTGAGCCCTGACAAGACATGGATTTCGTTCAGTTCCGGATCAATGGTGGCCCTTTGAGTGAAACCTGTCATTGGAACTGACAGAAGAAAAGAAAAGTTACACACTGGAAACAACAGGAAGGACTCGGGAAGGGATCCAAGCATCAGGCAAATGCCTTTCCCTCTCCCTGCAATTCAGTAGATTATCATCCAGAGGCTGAATTCTTCCCTGCTAAAGCCAAGTCCAATGCAAATTCTCTTCTTCCCTTCTTATCTGTGACTCGTGGAAGAAAAAAAAAAAACCATTCTGCGAGCTGCTGTTTAGTAGAGAAAGATATGGACAGAGCCATTTGTGAGAGTACCAGCTCAGAAATGAGGATTAAGCTGCCTGAACACAGAGCTAAATGACCAGATGACCCTTGCAAATATGAATGGAGTTATTCTGTTATTATCTCATCCATAAAAGGACGCATTGATTCCAAAAAGCTTAACTGCAAAAGCTGGGAAACTCCAAAAAATTCAAGATGAACTCATGACCACGCAGCTCACGCCCCTGCACTGCTTCCTCCAGGACAAAGATGTCAATGCAGGTTTTTGTATTTTCTAAGTATCTGTGGTGCAATTACCAAACTATTCTTCTGTTCCACCTTCGGATTTAGAGATATGGTGAAATCCTGCAGATTCCAACAGTTTTCATCATAATTCCCCGAAAAAAAGGTCAGCAAATTTGTCTGGCAGTCCTTTTTGTTTGTTGTATAATTCCCCATTTCCTGTTTCCCTAGGCAACCATCCTCCCAAAATGTATTTGGGAAGGGCACGTGATCTTTGTTTACAGATCCTGTTTGTCTCCTTTCTCTTTCTGGGTCAGTTTACAAAGGCTGGTGAAGGTTCCTGGCCTTCGGTCAAGATTTTGGCATGAAAAATTCTCAGAACTCTCCTATTTTGCGAATTCTTCCTTGCAATTAAACTTAACTGCACCCACGGCCTAGAAAACGAGCCCTATGCTAATAAACCGTTTAATATTGCTGTTTCAGGAGACACTAAATGGTATTTTGGAAGCCCATTCCATAACAGGTTTCATTCTCATACTTCACTCTTTTCATTTGCTAGGCCAGAAAAGTAATAAACTGATTAAAAAATTCTTAGTAGAATTTGGTTCTCGGCAATTTAGGGCCCTCCTGAAGCATTTGGCTACACCACAAAATCCAAGCATTTCTTTAAAAAAAAAATCAAAAAAATCAAAAAAAGTTAATTCTTATGTAAATTATGTAAAAATTAAGAAATGGGAATATATTCAGATAATTCACTCTCAGTGTCCCATTGACAAAATCCTTCCTCGTGGTTTCACAAACCTACCTAATTTGACCTCAGATTTTGCAACAGAGTTTTAAAGGAAAATTATTTTGGTTTATAAGCAAATGGGTGGCAGAGAAGAAAAAAAGAAAAAAAAATCAGGGAATAAGGCTGGCACAACAATGACTTCACACCTTGTTTTACCTGCAAACCACAAAGACAGTAATTGAATAATTATGTCCTTTTAATAAGAAATGAGGACTGAGAGTCAGCCCAAACGGAAATTGAGAATAAAAAGACAATTATAGACTAAATACTGCCAATTTTTGAAAAGTATCATGTAATATGCTGCTTCCATAGTCAGGGACTAAACTGCTGACCCAAAAGGATTCAATTCAAGGCCTATTTGAGACATTTCTGGCAGCAGAGCCATCTAAATTTGATCAGCAATGCTAATGTAGATGGAAAATGTCTTTGCAACTCTATCTGCTGCTTTGAACATTTGAGACCATGCCGGGAATATTAGAAAAAAAAACAAACCAAAAACCTTCAGAACATTAATACCTCAGGCTCATTGAAGTGAAAATTATTATAATCATGAGGAAGATGGTCCCCTCTATTACCACTGATACCAAAAGCATCTGAAACTTGCCTATGGAAGTCCCATCCCTCCTTCCTGAAATGTTGTTAAATAAATGAATGTTGTATCTCGTTTATGCTCGGTTCCCCGAAGCTGAAATTATTATTTAAATAATGAAGGAGGGAAAAGCTGCCAAAGTTCAGCGCTGCTGGTTTTTTTCCCCCTCTTGATATTAAGAGCAGAATTCATCTGCAGCAACTGCAATCAAACCTCAATTCAAGTCAAGTAATTTCAGGCTTCCCTCAGTCTCTTCTTGACTGTTAGAAATGCAGAATGTCTAGAAAAATAGCAGCAATATAAAACCTTACAGTTACTAAGGGCCTAAGACAAGGAGCAACTTATATAAACTCTGTGACCTATCTAAGCAACTGTGTAGAAACCATATTTAAGCAGTGCCTTAGGCTGGAAAAAGTTGACATCAAGTCTTTTGCAGAGGAAGACAAAACTAGAAGGTTCCACGTAACAGGATTAAAAACCCCACAAGACAACACAAATTTGGTAAACAAGTCCCTGAAAATAAAAAGAAAAATAAGACAAGATACTACACAGTGAGCACAAGATGCTGTGATGTTTTAAACCCAGCAGAAAGAGATGTTTTCCAAGGAAGTCCGATCCTCGACAAGAGCAAAAGGGCTCCATAAAATCCTCAGGACTGAAATACTTCCACTAGAGGGTAAGAGAGGTTCATCATCTGCAAGTGCAGCAGGCTGGCAGGAAATGCTGGATATAATTCAAACGACTGCAGTTGGAGTATTAGGGAGGGACACGGGCTGGAAACGTCAGAAAAATACTTGGGATATTTAGGTAACAAAATGTACGTCGAGGAAGGGAGTTTAACTGAGCCAACAAAATTGAACCCATAAAAATGAACCTGCAACAGTGGCAGTAACTGGTTGCTTACAGGGCATTTTGGTTCACTTTAGGACTTGGAGAAAAAAAAATCCTGAGCAACAAGGGGTGAAAACCAGAGCCCTGCACGATCTGCTGTTTGCAATGTGTTAGATCCAAGGGGTGAATAAACTGGTAGGAATGGTTCCATGGAAGTTCCCTCACTTCTGCTTCTTCACAGAGACGTGAGATCAGATTTGGAGCAAAGCTCCACTAATTCCACACTTTTCAGGGCACCTCTGGGGTCGACTGTGGGCAGGCGGCTCAAGGGACGTGGCAGTGACCGAGGGCTGAGGTCTGTTTTGAACACTGGCCTGCGTTTACACGACTTTAACTTGGCTCCTATAACAACAGATCACTGAATCAACAGGAGAAGCTGTAGAGAAATCACTAAATACAACACAATCCCAAAAAGTCTAGTAGGTGGTGAATGTTTTTCCTCTGACACTCTGTTTTTCCCCCCTTTAATCTTATTAACCAGCCCAGGGTAGAAGGGCAGTAACTAACCGAAAATCAGAAGCCCGAATCCTCACGGTATTTTAATTTATTTTTATGCAGTAAAAATCAAAAGCTCACGGCCTCAATATCTGAGAACAATATTCAGCCACACAGGCCTTGAGTTCGCAGCCAGTTACATAAACAAGCAATAATTCCCGAGCAAGCTTCCATCAGATGCTGTGGAGCTCTGTGCAATGTAATTTCCATTTAGATATAACACATGGGAAAAGCTCTTCTCCGAAAGCGACACCTAATCGTGCAACAGCCCCGTTCCCACTACCACAGTCCCTCCGTACAGGCATTTATTGGATCACAGTGATCATTTCAGAGAGCTGAATATTTTTTGGCTCTTGTGTGCAAACAGCCGCGGTTGTTTCTAGCACAGCGTTGGCTGCTGCCAGTATTGAAGCAAGAAAACAGCTTTTACACAGAGGCAGAGCTTGCAAAGCAGGAAATCAGAGTTCATGGAATACTAGGACGGTTTGGGCTGGAAGGGACCTTAAAGACCTCCACTTCCCACCCCCTGCCATGGGCAGCGACACTTCCAGGGATGAGGCAGCCACAGCTTCTCTGAGCAACCTGAAGTGGAATTAATGGTTTCACAGATGTTCTCATGGCACCAGACAGAATTTTGGAAAGGAAAGTTCATCTCTCACATTGGAGGGGAGACTATGGCACGTTTTTAAACACAGTTTGAAAATGTGGCAACAGCAAAAAAATTATGCAAATTTACAGTCTACAGGCCATGCCTGAAGGATTCATGAAGGGTAATTAAACAAAGTGAGTTCACTGACAGCCTTTTAGTGCCACCTGAGTTATGAAACCCTCAGAACATGTGATGCCAATCCCACTGCAAATGACTCGCAAGTATCTCCCTCCTTGTGATGCCTCGTGACTACAAAATTGGGAGAAAGATCCATCACATGGATATTGCTGCTCACCAGAACCTGGCACTTCCCAGTGGATTAATTTTTAAAAAACTGGTAGGTCTGCAAGTTACTCCTTGTAATTCCCATAAAATGGAAGCAGCACCTCCCCTGAACTCTAATGTTGAGTGACAGCACACAGGCCAGCTGTTGACACAGCAAGATAATGATTATCCTCTTGGATTTTTCCTGATGAGACTGCAGCTGGCAGCCTGCCAAGGAGCAGCTAAGGAGACCATCCGAACAGTTTGGCTGTCATGTTGCCAAAGCAACAATCCAATGTCCAGTGCTCAGTTCTCTCTGAGCTTTTGGAAAAACCAGGTCAGTCAGTAATTCTGAATGGAATCCTGAGCTGTGGTATCTCTGCAGGGCATCCTTGGGATTTGAGGACTGTCCGCTCTGCTCCTCACCTTCACAGGCAGAGGAAAGGATTTTGGGACTGAGAAGCACCTCACAAGATGAAAGTAGGCACAGTCCCTCACAAAACAAAGTCCTTCCATGGCAAGGGATGTGCTGGCCATGGCAAAGTAGATCTTCCCTGAGCACAGGCAAAACACATCAGGTGTCACGAACAGGTGATCAAAACAGAACATTCCAGCTGTTTGGCTCAGCTGGATCCTGGCCCTGCTGCTGTGCTGTTTGGATTCAGGTTTTTCTGACTTTGCCTTGTTTTAAACCACGATTTCCTGGGCTGAGCTGTGTCGCCTCTGTCCGTGGTACTTAACCATGAAATTCCCCATCCATCAGGTACACGGTTCTGTATCTGGAACAAGCACCTGCCCAGCAAAACACTCAGGATCTTCACTGTTAGCAAAAAAACTACTTGTGGATTGCTCCAAGAACCACTCCACCATTATAAGGAGCCACAAGAAGGTTTAAGGCTTGTTCACATTTGACTTTGGAATTTACTCTGTGCCAAGGGATAAAACATGATGTGCATTCAAGGACGTTCTCCCTCTGACCAAGAGCTCTTCTGACACACCACCTGAGTCAGGGCCAGAGGGGATTATCACAAGAACTCTGACCACAGTGTTCCCATTAGCTCCCTGAGACATGGAATCACTGTCCATGGTTAGTCATGGATGGCACATTAAGCGAGTTAGAAATTGTCATTCCAGCCCTTGGGAGACACCTGAGGCTGGTGGAACCTCTAGACGCCATCTGAAACTTCAGAGGTACACTCTGGAGTATCTTTTTGGAGCCTGGTGGGGATCTTTTTGTTGGTTGTGTGTTGATTTTGTGCTTTTAAAGTGATTAAAAGTATAAAACTGTTCTAGAAGCGTGTGATCAACACAAATGTTTCTGCCTTTCCTCCAACCACAGGCTCTACTCAACAGTACTAAACTTCCTCCAGTTCCCACCACTACTGCCTTCCTTCACATACAACACATCTTCACAGTTCCATGTCTAAATGTGCTAAAATTATGTCCTTTACTCCAAGTTAAGAAAATTTAACTGCTACTTATCACCCACTATTTTCAAACCTGTCAGCCGTACACAGAACTGGTTACAAGAACAACATCACAAGCAAAAACAAAAGCAAAGAAACACTAAACAGCATAAATATCTCACCCAGAAGATGAGAGCAGCAAAACCCACACGTCATTAACACTGTTCTACAGCATTGCAACAACTCCGTGTTACTGATAATCCTCAACGATACATTTTACTACTTTTAATAAAATCTTCTCCCTACTCCAAGAGATGCTCACACAAATGAACAATTAAGTTCTTTTAGAAAGGGTAAAAATCAAAATAGCTCAACTAAGAATAGAACTGAATGCCACATGTGAGCCAGGAACAAAATGTAATCATGGGACTTTATAGGAACATTTAGGTCAGGCATCCTCAACTTGACTCATCACACCGAGCAGCTTAAAACTTCACAGCGACCAGGCAGGGAATCACTTTGTTCAGACAGATCAAAATGGGTATATCAGTACCTAACAAGAGCACAATAAACACTTGCTTTTTTTCGTGTGAAAACAGTGCTGTCAACATTTGCTGTCTGAACGTAACAAGCATTTTGTTCCCTTCCCGTTAAAATGCAAATTATCCCAGCACTTCCTTTGAAAAGCAGTGGAAACGTTCAGATCTGTTTGTTTACTCCCTGCACACAGGAGAACAGTAAACGGAGAAATCGACTCGTAAATTATGTCCAATGACTCATTTTCTTACCAAAAAAAAAAAAAAAAAAAAAATTAGTCTTCTATTCAACACTTCAGGGCCTATGGGAATGGGGAGGAGGGCTAAAAAATTATAATCTCTCTTACTCAGCTGAGCCTTGCAGTTCATATACCCTGAAAAGCAGAGCTCAGTGTCTTCTCCAGCTGTTAAGACAAGCTCAGTATCTTTAAATCTGAAGCAGACACAGGCGTCAGCTTAAAGCCACATCTTTTAAGGCTTCTGGCTATGAAGAAATGTAGTTTGAAAAGATCAAAATGGCAGAATGCTGGCAATTTCCTGGAGGGGGGGGAAAAAAAAAAATCAATTCTTTAAAAGCTCCGAGGATAACAAACGGTGCGTGGGTGTGCGTGGAGCAGCATCAGGCAACACGCAGGCACCTGAATAAAGGAGACTGTCAACAATCCAAGCTGGTTCTTTCTTGGAAGCACTCAAGTAAATAAATGACTCCGGAGAATAAGAGCTTGGGTACTTTTCTCCCTCGTTGGCATAACTAAATTAACGAGCAAACAATAACTTGTAACCATCAATAATTCACTTCAAACGTTCAGCAAAATTACTTGCTAAAAATGAAGCCTGATCAGAAGAAGGAGGGCAGCCTAAATTCAAGATAAATTAGCTTCCTGGGATTTTGGTAACTGGGAGAAGAGAAAACAAGATCTGGACTGAATATAAATAATATTGAGAAATATTCCCACAGTAGTACACAGTGCAACTCCAATTTCAAATTCTGAGTTGTATGATGAAAATCAGGGTATTTGTAACAGGAAAATGATGTGTTTATACAAGCAGAAATCATTTTGGGAAAAAAAAAAGAATATTTTTCCCTGTCATTTGAGCAGAAGAGGTATAAAAATCAGTTCTTTATGGTTATGTTACAGGCCTTTGGGGTGTTTCTAAAAGATTTCTGTCATACAGAACTCTGCCTGGGGAATACAGCTCCAGTGGTATGGACCAAACAGAGCTGAAGCCTTGCTCCCTCCTCTCCCTTTTTTTGGCACTTCCTGATACTTGTTACAAATATAACAGGACAACAGGTTGGTGTCATCTTTCTAGTTAGCTCCTGTCAGCCACCAGAACTTCTGTCCCTCCAATTCTCTGTCTCTGAGCATCCTCTCTGCCTTTCTGCATCTCAAACCAAGCAGATTATCTATATTTTACAGTATCTTTCACTTAATGAAAACCAGAAAAATAAAAATTTGTTTTCTCCTCTTCTCTCCAGATTTAAAAGAAAAAACTTTTTTCATTTTTTTTGGTCTTTGTTAGAGTTTCATAAGAGGTATTTTTAATTCTTATTTTGGTTTTTTTGGGGTTTTTTTCTTTTTTTTTTTTTAAATTTTGTTTGTTTGGTTTTTTCTTTTGAGCTGCTACGTGCTTTCATGCATCAGTTATTTGTATTGTGTTGAAGGTGGTGAGTGTCAAATGACAGTAAGGACAGAAGAGCTGGCATAAGTTTAACCTAAATACTGTGGAGTTTACTTGGGTATAGAGGGCTAGTTAAGGATGCCAACCTGATCCCACAGGACACTGGACCTGGCCTCTCACCTATACATTTCTCCTTTTACAATATTTCACCCTTCACAGCTTATTTCTCATTTGTACCAATGGAAAGAAATGATGATGAAGATCTCCTCTTACCCATCCCTGAATCTTTCTTCGTGCCATCAGATATAATGTCCACGTGGTCGCTGTCCACATCATAACTGAAGAAGTCATTCAAGTAAGTCTTCGATCTCTGGCCACCAAACACGTACAAGCAGCGATTTTTCTGGAATGAGGGGAGAAGAAAAGTCTTTATAATATAAAAGTTCAAGAAATTATGTTGGTCACCTGTGACCATTAACATTTATCATAAAAGTCACAGAATGGGTTGGCTTGGAAGGGACTTTTAATATCATACATTTCCAACCCCCTGCCATGGGCAGGGACACCTTCCACTACACCAGGTTACTCCAAGCCCTGTCCAACCTGGCTTTGGACACTTCCAGGGATGGGGCAGCAATTAACAGAGATGTTTCTTCTAAGTTTAAAATCACTGTAACTACTATAGCTCTGCCTCATCCAGCTTCAACTCCAGAACATTAAAACACCAATTCATCAAGTTTAATATTAAAGAATTAACAGCTCCTGTGTCTAAAACTCATCAGATCGTAACTTCACTGTTAAAAACAGGACAGGAACAAGAGACAGGCTGTAGGAGAAACCCTCCAGGTACCAGCACATTACTGAGCTCAGAACAGGCAAATGGCAAGCAGAAAGCCAAGAATAACAGGTTTATTACTTCTTTCAGGTTTGCCAAGTGGAAAGTCTGTAAGAGGCAGATTATTATTCTTTCAAATGGTTGAAAAAACAGAAAAGGACTTAAACTTCCACGACCTGTGCTTACAGAAACCAGCATTCTTACATTTCTCACAGACACACACTGGAAAGATCTTCAGGTGCCTGTGCAGAATTTTGTGTGGCAATATGTTTTTCACCAGATGTCGTGGTTTTGCCCACCAGCTCATCCCTGGGGCTGAGGATGGTTTTGTCCAGGTGATTTCCGGACAAAAAAACCAATCAAAAAGTTCAGTGACGCCTTTGCTAATTACATCTTTAAGAAAACGGAAGAGAAGGTGGTGGCGCAGTTGAAATTAAGAACAGCAGCCATGTAGGAGAGAAGGTAGCGGGCCCGAGGAGGGCCAAGGCCCCCTCCTCCCCGGCTTGGGCCGGGGTGGGGGGGCAGGTGCAACACTGAAACCTCCCTTCTCTCTTGTGAGAGAGTGAAGGAAAAAAAGTTTAAAAGACGAACTGCTTAGACAAGAAACCGCTGCAGAGGAATTCCAGCCATGAGATAACAGGATTTTCAAGGTCAAAGCTGCAGTCGCAGAAGAGAGAAGAAAAGTTCGAAGGGGGGAGAGCTGCTGTTTTTCTCTTTTTCACTCTTCCTCCCTTCAGCAGGGTAAAGACTGAAAAATAAAACCCTGCCACCTGTAGAAGTTTGTTGGGGTGAAGAGACCCCCACCCCCATGCGGCTCACAGAGGAGCTTGTGGATGCACCAGAGATTTGTGACTTTAACAGAGAAAGCCTTATGCTGGAGTAAAAGCGACTCAGATGAGGCAGAGTCCTGTTAAAGACTTTGTGACCCTTGAAGGGATCGATGCTTATGCTGGAGCGAGACAGCTCAGATAAGCTTGGGATCTCAGTGAGAGATCCATGCTGCTGCTGTTGAAGATTTATGACCCTGACGGGTATTAGAACCTACGCTGGAACAGAAACGGTTCAGGTAGGGATGTTGGGATCCATGTGTGGGATCCGTGCTGCTGGTGCTAGAGAGAACCTACGCTGGAGCAGAAAATGGCTCAGGTGGGATATTGGGATCCGAGTAAGGGATCCAGACTGGACCCATGCCGAGAAGTCAATCAAGGACCGTTCTCCCATGGGGAGGGACCTCCATAGGGAAACAGGGGTGAACTCTTAAACCATTATCCCCTGTAACCCTGTGGAAGAAGATCCATAGTAAGCAAGTGTCCCCTTGCAAGTCTATGGAAGGAGACCCTTCAAGACCTGGGTAACCCTCAGCCTTCGGTTTTAACCCAGGAGGGGGGTAGGCCCAGCCCTGGAGGCCAACACAGAATAAGAGAGAGAGATAAAAAAGTTCCAACTGCGACAAAAGTACTGCAGAGTTACTAGAGAGAGAGAGAGAGCTGAAATTCTGAGAACAGAAAAAGACTGCTTCTCCTCCTTGGACTGATATAAAGGGAGGTGGGGGGAAAAGTATCTTTTGTAAATACATAGTACCTTTTACTCAAGTAGAATTGTTGTAAATATAATTCTTTAGTTTTAGTTTGTTAATAATAAATACTCATCCTTTTTTTAATTCAGTCTCTTTTTGTCTGCATAAACCTTCTCTCAACTAGTAGTAATTGTATGTGGAGGTATAAAAGTAAATTGAACCAGAGCAAAACCACGACACCAGATTTTAAAGAGCTATTCAAAACCAAAATAAAATTGAAGGCTCTGAAAGCCCAGTATTCACTCTAAAAATTCTGATCTTTCATTGGAAAGGGAAAGAGAAACAAACTCGGTAATTTCTTCAAATTGGTGGGTTTTGAATTGGTGGTATCAGTAAATACTTGAATGTCACAACATTAATTTTAATTCTCTTCTCTTGAATTCTCCTCTTTAATTCCCTTCTCTCAAATAAACATGTGGTTGATGAACACAGCTGGAAAGGTAATGGAAGGTGGGGTTTAATGCCTAACACTGAATAAAATGCTATACACGCCCCACCCCATCAACTCCTCTGCTTTTCCATCAGGCTCTGGATGAAGTGCCTGTTATTCCATCTGTGCCCAGCTGTCAACAGCTGCTCAGCACAACAAACTGCAGCTGAGTGCTCAGCACCATGGGCTGTGAGGCCTCTGCAATCAATGCACACCTACTAAGTCCCACTCCAGTAAGAGTATCTATTAGACCAGAAGCTTCTAAATTGCTCTACCAACTTTAAAAGGACAATTCTTTAGGTCAAACTGAACCAGAGCCTTCAGGTCTATTTACTACTGTTCCACTAAAATCAACTTGTTAAAACTCACCTTGTTTTTTACGTGAAATATTACTGAGCTGAACTCATGAAAGCTCCAAGACTTGAATTAGTACCTCCTGCACTTACCAAAGCAGCACCAGAATGTCCACGAACACGGAACTGAGACAACAACACACCCCTCAGGAGATTAAAGAGCTCCAAACTTGCAAGGAAAACCAAAACCAGATGTTCTCCTTAAAAGTCAGGCATCATCAATCAAGGCAGGGCGTGGATACTTACAGAGTGGAACAACATACAGTGTCCTATCCGGGACTGGATATCCTCGGGTCCAGCATTGCAGGAATCCTCTCGCAGAAGTTTCCACGTCTGACACTGGCAGTCGAAAGCAAACAACCCACTGAACTGTGGCTCACTGGCTCTGCTGTCATCCACACTGCCATTGCAGGTCAGGATTCGGCCTCCAAAGGTGTAGATCATGTGTTTTTCAGAATCCATACACATCTGCAAGGACCAGAGTAGCAGTTTGAAGCCAGCACGTTGAAACTTAAAACACTTCTGAGATTCGAGATTAAACATCCCTCTCCTGCAAGCCATATCTAAGTTAGTGCTCTGCACATCTCCTGAGCCTCCAACCCACAGGGAAGAACACACATCTGCATGGTTGTCAGGTATTAATCTCATAAAATGAATTCAAAAATGTAAGTAATTTCTATGTGCTGTTTAATAAGAAAAAAAAATAAGTGTACCTTTCACCTACGAAAACTTATCCCTAGCTGCTGATTTCAGCTAGGGATAAATATTTTAGAGTCTTCCACAATGATCCACAGCTGGAGAGTTAACAGAACATCACCTTTGGCAATGGCTGTGCCAGGGAAAAATTCAAAATCCCTGCTAATTCACTGCCCACCACTCGGTCAGTGCAAAAATCAGCCTGTGATTTGTTACTCTGATTCCACCCCCAGCACTGTTACCTGTTTTACTGTTACCTCCCATTACCTGAACACAAAGGGGAATAAACCCAGCCAAGGATCCCTGATGGGACTGCAGCAGAAATAGGTTTAACCCCCAAGCCTAACTTGACTTTATGGCACACAAGAAAAGCACTGCAGCACAAATCAAACCAAACTCCCTGACTCCAGGTGATGTTTTTCAGACAGAGCATTACAAAACACCAAAGGAGGTGGGGGGTGGGAAGCAAACCAACAAACAGACAAGATTACAGTAAGATAGAGATGCTACTCAGCAAAGCCTACACAAAACACCTCTAGTGCAGCACATTTTTGAAGGTTAAATAAAAACTGCTATCGCAGTAGGTGCTGAGGGAGAGGAGAGGAAGAGCTGCAGATTGATAAAGAATTTAGTGAGAACACATGAGACGGCAAAGGGGAAAAAAGGAACCATTTCAGGAGGCAAACGAGGTACCCAGAGTGGCCTTGCCAGCTGACAATTTCCTTGTGCCTCTCTCCCCAACACCTGGAGACTGGTACTCGTTATTAATAGAACAGAAAGACTGATTGGCTTTTGTTCTGCAGACATGGCGTATCTTTAATTTTCGGTGTCAGCAGAAAGGCACATTGTGCTGGCAAACAACAGCTTTGGTTACAAAACAGCCAGCACCAATAAAACGCATCTTGGGCTGCCTTAAAAATGAGTCCTGATGTGCTGTTTCTTGGCAATGCTTTATAATAAAATCAATTGAGAACAAAGTACCTCTTTCAAGTAGACAACAGCCAGTGAATGTACAACATAAGGAGTTGTCATCAGCCTGAACATGTGGACAGGTGTGGCTTTTCAAGGGATTAGCAGCCACTCCTCTAAGGTGTTTCAGTCGTGACAAAGCAAGCACGTAACTTAATTTGAAGGAATAACCAAATTTGAAGGAATCCTGCTCTTGTGCTGGTCTCATTCCAGCAGCCTGCTTGGAGTATTACTCCAAAGGTACCCATGCACAACTTTCCAAGTTGCTCCCCAACGCCCTCGAGAAGGCAGATCTGCAAACCCAGCTCAAGGAGGCTGATTAAAACCAGATGAACCGTGCTTCGAGCTTTAATAAAACGTGTCTTAATAAAATGGATTTGTTTGCAAAGGCTTTTATGATTCTTCTGACTCAGTTTGATGAGAATACCAGCATTAAAACCGCAGTGCTGTTAGAACTGAACTGAGAGCACACCCTCCTCGCCCTTTCTCTGGTACCTGGTACAGCACTTCTAAACCACAGATCAAAGCTGACTCTCCAGCACTGAGACCTTGCAGGAGGAGTGTGAGTGTGGCTGACCTGATGATCAAACACCAGCTTGGGGCCTCCATCAGCAGCAGTGTCCTCACTCAGTAACATCCAAGTGTTGGTGTCAATGTCGTAGCGATAGAAGTCACTTTTCAGGGACTTGCTGTTCCTCACAGAGGAATCCAGATAACGGCCCAGCGTGTAGATCTGCCTTCGCTGGATGTCAATGCACATCTTGTGACAAGATCTGGCACTGGGACCACTCTGAAAGAGAACAAGACCACAGAAATAAGACAATCACGGATTTAATATTGCTCCAGGCAGGTCACTAAGGGCAAATAAGTATTATCAGCAACTAGAACTCAGGAAAATCTGCTTGTAATCAAAGGCAGGATTAATACATAAGTAACTACAAGAAGACATCCCATTACTTCTCATTTAGAAAGACACCAGCAAAAACCTTAATGCACTTGTCACAACAAACTTACGACTTGGACCTTTTTTGTCAGATTCCTTAGAAAAGTTTCCTCCAGAAGTGATTCTCAGAGGCCTGTGAAAGCTACTTGATCTTTTAAAATAACAGAAGTTGATGCACATGAGAGGCAAATTAAGATGTCACAGCCTATAAATAACCACACAGGAAGAAGATTAAGAAGTGCTCTATTACAAGAGCCTCTGTTTTATTAATAGGCTGTTTTCTAACAGATCATAAGCAGACACTCCCACAAGCAATCACATCCCATAATGGGTCTGGGAAGGTAACAAAAGCACTCCCTGTCCTTCACAAATAGATATGGCCCTTCCAGCCTCCAACCAAAAGAAAGTTTCCCACGGTGAGCTAAGCTGCCCTGAGTCTTCAACAGAAACACAGAGAGTGCCCCTGACAAATTATTATGGGCTAATCCACCCAGGAGTGCTCAAGTTAAATCAAGGAGTGATTTATTCAGTGGCATTATCGTGATGATACACAGTACTGGGCAGTGACCTTTCTGCTCCCAAATCTAATTTTAAGGGCCTTCATACACTCATCCTGAAGCATGAGGAGTGATATTCTGGTACTCCAAGATAGTAATAGATAGAAATCAAGATGTGCAAAGCCTTACTTGCAAGATATCAGACAAAAGAAAAACATGGCATCATGAGTACAGATAAGTTCCATAGTTTATTTAGGCTTAGTTTGTCTAATTTTGGCACTTCACAAATGAGGATGCCAGAACAAGGCTGGCTGAGCTGAGGGTCTGGAAACCAACATGAACACAGGGAATATTTGAAGTGACAAAGAAAGGGAAGATGTGGCTCTAAGAGAGCTGGAGAGGGAGTCTGGACAAGGGATGGAATGACAGGACAAGGGGGAATAGCTTCAAACTGACAGAAGGCAGGGTTAAATTGGATATTGGGCAGAAATTCTTGGCTGTGAGGGTGGTGAGGCCCTAGCACAGGTTGCCCAGAGATGATGTGGATTCCCCATGCCTGAAAGCGTCCAAGGCCAGGTTGGACAAGGCTTGGAGCAACCTGGGATAGTGGAAGGTTGGCCACAGCAAAGGGGATGGAACTGGATCATCTTTAAGGTCCCTTCAAACCCAAAATGTTCTATGGTCCTTTAAAGAAAAAAAATCTATTAAAAACTACAGAAAAATAAAGATTATAGAAGTAGGCAAAGATGTAGCAATTCACCATTTATTAGGACACCTAAAGCCACACCAAATAATCAGCACAATATCTGCTCGACATGCTCCCAAGTACTGACTTATAAAAAAAATTTATCTTCATAATTGCACCGTTTCACTCCAAAAATTCTACTGAAATATAAAGTATGTTGATGGGAATGTGCATCACGAAATTGAACAAAACATGAAAGGAAGCATTACATCTCTGCAGTCAAAAGCCTTTACTATTCATGTTAGAGAATTCAATTTCTCAATTAAACAATGGTTCCAGGAAACTGTTTACAATAGCTCAAAAGACAAAGTGAAGAGGTGAACTGAATTGTTTGTGTTTTGTAAATATGAAGCATTATGTCAGCAATGATTACAGCTTTGAGGATTAGTTACTTCATGGTAATTAAGATAATTTTCTTTTCTGAAAAAAGAAAAAAAAAACCCAAAAAGTACTGATAACAGTGAAATATTACCATAAAATCCTGAAATGCAGCAAAAGCTCATTCATTGCCTTTGGTCACACAGAAGATGACAGGGAAGGAAACAACATCATTCACTTTGTTCTTAGAAAATACAAAATAGGATCTTCCAGAGGACCCTGTTCCAAAGACATGGGGGAGTTTCTCTGCATGAGAAGCACCAATCTGTGTATTCACCAAGGCTGCTCCTGACTCACAAACAGGTCACCCCAAGTATGCAAAGTCCACCCCCAGCCCTGCAGCTGGGACGCTGAAGGATATGGCACCAGTCCTCTGCCAGCCAGCACATATTTATTTGTCTTGGCAGAGCTGCCCTGTAGGTGAAATGTGAAGACCCTCCTGTGCTTTCTGACCCTCTGTCAGGTCATTGCAGGCTTTTTAATTGAACCTGATGATTTAAGTATCATCCCCACTCCCTCACCTCTATGTGGACTAAAGTAAATTCTCCCAAACTTGCTCAGAAAATGTTCTTTGGCCCTTTCAGGAATAAATCTCCAGTTTAGCCATTTCAGACCTGCCTTGCCAAGGAAAGCTGCATCATCAACCGAAATTTGTCCAAGTACAGACATGAGGCTGAGACACTTCACACAGACAATACTCATTTCAAGCCACTGGCAACAACAACACAGTTGCTACACCAAGTATACAAACACAAGGATTTCCTAAGACTACTCTAAAATGAGAAAAGAATCAAGGATAAATATCTACTTTCTTGAATTATATCCAGGCCAGCTGCCTTTTTAAAGACCTGTTAAGGTTTTAAGATGGATCATTTCATCAAACTTCATCACCTCTAATGAGGTGAATGAGCATGAACTACCTCTTGTAATAAAGAAAACTTCATCCAGTTCAAAACCTGTTCTCAAAGAAAACTGAAGTTCTGCCTGCACATCACTCACAAGATCACATGGAACCTGTCAGAAGTTTCCTACTCAGCCTAGAGGATTACCAATGTGAGTAAATAAGTCCATCAACAGTGATACACATTGGTTTGACATTTGAGGCAGAAGAGGGGAAAGGCCAAATCTGTGTTCACTTGAGAGCTACTCGACCATGGAAGTCCTTGTAGTACGAACATACTTCAAAGGGGTACACAAAGTCCATTTACAGAGACACTGCAAATGACTAAAAACACTTCAGGGCACATGTGGTTGAGTGAACCAAGTGCCTGTGGGTGGCTGTGAATGTTCATCCAAAGGAGCGTAGCTCCATGTGGTTACAAGAACAGCCTGTTTGGACAAAGAACACGCTGCCACAACTTGCCACGGACAAAGTGTCCCACCAAATCCAAATGGGAAAGTTTGTTGACTCCAAGAGTGTTCAGATAACTTGACCCTTTAAAAGCAACAAGTGAGAAGAATGGACCATGACAGAGATGACTGACTCTAACCTGCAGCTGAAGAGATCAAGCAGTGAGAGAGCAGGAGAACCACCTTTTGTCCCCCGTGCCAGGATGGTGACAATCCATGAGTAAATGTCCCAAGATGAGTGGATCTTGAGATCTCTATACCCTTCTTCAAATTCAGGCCTTATCACAGACATTTTTACCTGCATGCTTGTAACCACAGGAGAACATTAAACACAACACCCAAGACTTCTCAAGCAGAGCAGAAGGCAAATCGCAGTTTTGACCAGCTGCCATTTATCTGCTTCTGTGGTTATCTGAACTCATAACACACCAGTGCAGGACTCCTCATCCCTGGATGTGTTCAAAGCCAGGTTGGACAGGGTTTGGAGCAACCTGCTCTAGTGGAAGGTGTCCCTGCCCACGGCAGGGAGTTGGAACAAGATAATCTTTAAAGGTCCCTTCCAACCCCAAACCACTCAATGATTCTGCGATTAAGCACTTTTCTTTAGATCTGTTTTTTCAAACTGTTTTCAAAGTTGTTCACATGGGGAACCCACACTTTTGCAGATGAAGCTTTGTGACCTGACTGACTGAGGTAGCAGAGATGTTACTCCCCAGACTTCAGTAAAGTCACATCCAGCAACAGCGCCCAAAGGACCTGAACAAACACCGGTTTGGGGGACTCCTTCCAGTTCTCATCAGGAAGCTCCTGGCACACACACAGCAGAAACCACACGTGAAAGGGGCTTGTGACTAGGCTAAGTTCTTATTCAGATGGCAAGCAATGCGTTAGGCTGCCTTGGCCGAGGCTGTGATGGCAGCAGGAAAGCATTAGCATATCACATTTCTAACCTACAGGACACCAAACAATACCAAAAACTACTGAGCACAGGCCCTGCTGGGTTTCTGTGGAACTCAATAAGTGCCCACACAGAGCCAGGACTAACCTGAACAAAGTGGCTCTGTGCCACCCAGCCCCACCATACAATCAGCACAGAACAATAACAGCTAAGATAGATTAAACAGCAAGTGCCACGGCCCCCTTTGGAAGTGCCACAAAATCCCAAGCTTTATGCCCTGCTCTGACGCTCTTCCTCAAACAGGTTGGTCTTGATGCAGCTCCTCCGGTCTCTAAAACACAGATAAACGCCCTGATAAGGGTGGGATGGTGAGGAAAGGAAGGGAGTCTGTATAGCCAGGAGTACTTAAGACAGGCTTTCAATCCTTTAAGCACCCAGGGCCAAATAGGATTTTTAGGTTTCGTCAGTGCTACACGAAATTCAATTGTGCAACGCCAAGTGAATACACAGTATACTTTATGAAAAGCCTTCTCAACGTGCTAAGCCACTTTATAAAATCTAATTAGGGCTTTCTTCATTTAACTTGCAAATGCTGAAAGCAATTATCCCACTTAAGGACTAACTTACAAAACGTTTTCAAAAAGCAACACAACAGCAGCGAGAGACAACACTGCCTCCTTAGAATAATTGATTTGTTCCTATACAGGAGAGAAAGGATTGGGACTCAGCTCCTTAGGGCAGGGTCTGCTCAAATCACTCTTTATGCCAGAATCAGCAGGCATCATCTTAGCAACGGCATCCTGGCATGCTCTGCTAAGGCACAAACATGATAGCTTTTATTTTTTTGGTTTGTTTTTAAATAAATGTCCTATGAACCTCCTCTAATGTGAACACGACCGCAGGAAGCCAGTTCCACTCCCCATCCCACCCTCCCAAACAAATACTGGGGGAGCTTGGCTTCTTTTGGTTATCATAACCT